CCCCCCCCCCCCCCCCCCAAGTTGGAATGGTCGGGGCACCCCTGTTTATAATAAATCGAATTTGAAAAATCTTAATAATTTTTTTAAAATGATTAGAAGTTACGAACAAGAAAGAATCAATTTATTTGTCATAAATGATGTTTTTTATACTTACCGGTTGAAACATTTATTTTAGATATTCAATGAAAATGTAATTGATAAGATGTTTTCAAAGAAAAGAACGCATGAAAATAGTTTATTTTCTATTACAAATTATATATTAAAATATCAATCAGAAGCAAATACATAGAACAATGAATTTTATTAACAACGATTGACAAAAGATATACCAAGGCATTGATCGATGGAATTCATCAGTAAAATTGGTAAACGATAGATGGCATATCCATTTAATACAATTTCCTAATATTCATTTTAATAAAATATTATATAAACTTCAGATTTTTAAAATAAAATCTGTATGAAGAAAAATTAAATAGGATAAAATTGATATTTTTATAAATTGTTTTGATTTACTGGAAGTAATTAAATAAGAGAAGTACTATTCATTATGTCGTTTAGATTGAGAAGGAATCTGTTATCTAAATATTTTAGTTAAACTATGATTCAATAACAATTCGAAAACATTGAGAAGAAAGATCTCTACATATCGTTTCAATTTTGAAATTTTTCTAATAGAAAAGAAACTCAGTAGGTGAAAACTTTATCAATAAAAATCGTGAAAATTACTTGAAAACCCAATAGCCTATAAGTGCGTCTCCGGAGGTAGTCTCTTGATTCAATTGTAAATATATATTTTCTGTTGAATTTAGAATTGTACACCGGTTTCGCCTTCCATGAATCAATATGAGTGCGATTAGACAAAACGGTCGAGAATTCTTAACTCTCTCTCCTCTCCCCCGCTCATTAGAAGAACCTCCTTTAATTGATTAATGTTTTGTTAATTAGAAACTTTAATTACAAATGACAGCCTTGAAAGAACATCGTATCAGAAAGCTCCCATGAATTCTATGTATTACGTAAGATAGGTCCAAGAAGCGTTTGTAGATTATATTATAATATGTTGTATGAAATAAAAAAATCATACGAATTAACAAATACCCTCATCTACGTTTTAAGTCATAATCAAGGATGATATTGAGTTAATCAATTTTGAATTCGAATATCGGCACAACCCCGAAACGTTTCCTGTGGACCATAACCCATGCCCTGTTTGCCATCGCTTGAACCCCAACGATTGGCACATGTCCAATCCCATTGCAAAACGCATCGGTCACAAATCAAACTATTGGGTAATTTGACTTTAAAATTATATGCTGGGAGATCCCAACCGGGAGCAATATTTTGTGTATAAGTGCCTGGAATGTCCCAACGGTAAGAGCTTGTCGTGGCACTAGGAGCCTGAACAATTTCGAGTGGATGTCGGTCCAAACATTCTTGGGTCACTTCGATGGCATTATGTGTCACCGGGCAAACTTTGAAGAAGAACCAGCCCATATGATTGGCCATCATTTCGACACGAACATCGATGACTTCTCCCGCTTTATAAGTGCCCACAATGGTACCCGTAAAATATTTACCATTTGGTGCTTCATTATCCCGAGGTCCATCAATAGGATCACCACATACACCACACTGTCCACCCATTGCCCAGTGATGCTATTTTAATGAAAAGAAAGTAGAACATCGATTTTAGGTGTGGAGATGTTTTAGTATCGACTTACGTCATATCCACCACAGTTCAATTGCCAATCATTGTAGTTGATAGGAGTATTGAAATTGAATTGCCATGCTGAACTGCGACTGGGAGGTCGAGCCAGTCGTCCATGACCACTAACAACTACAGCATAGATGAGTATAATAAAAAGTTTGAGCATATTTCTATGTCGATGCACTAGAAAGTAGGTGTTTTGATTGTGATTGAAACTAAAATGAATAAGACCAATATTTTCTTTTTCATATGGCTTAGCGAATAATTGTTTTATTTATTTCCAATGTTTTGCGCCCACATATAGTTCACGATCAGATTTCATCCCTTAATTATTATGCGAAAAAAACATTTTTTGATTCTGTAGTTATAATACCCACTGCATGGAGCTAATAAACCGAAAAGACACTCAACAGTAAGGCTGTGCAAAGAGTTAAAAATGTAGCATCTATTTGGGTGATTTCTTTTGCGGATACACAAATAATCCCACTTTGATTGTAAAGCAATTTGTCTTTCAAAAAAAAGCATTATTGAGTTTTCTTCAGCGACATCTGATCGTCGATGTATATCCATTGGTTGCGCAACAGTAACAAATCACCCGAGATAGAGTTGTTGTCTGTCTTCCTTTCTTCATTTTCGTGTCCAAGAAATAGTTGAACAGTCATATTGGACAAATTCCTTTCTTTATCTATGGCAGCTGGATATGAGAAAACAGGTGTTGCACCTAGTGATGTCGGAGACACAAGCAGTTTGAGTTATGTAATTCATGGTTAGTTATTCGATAAGAAAATCAAATTGTCTCTAAAATGAAAGGTTTTGTTTTAGATGTAGATCTTGATCGACAAACTCAACTACTTCAAAATGAAATAGAAAGAGAAGTATTGAAATTTTTTGATTTAAAAAGATTTTCATCTCATTATCTTAGATTGCTGCAAGTCAACCATTAGTAACTGATAAAATTCCCACAGCTCAATTACAAAGTGAATATGCATTAGATGATAAAATCTACCAAGATAAAGTGGCAGTAAGTAAGATTAATAGAATACCAGTCGAATTAGTTTCTTATTTACAAAAAGGAATTAATGAAAAAATATAAATATATTCGTCGTACACGAGGCGATGGAAATTGTTTCTATCGTGCATTTGCTTTCGGCTATCTTGAAAAAAACTTGATCAATAAAAAAGAACTCGACCGATTTCGACAATTAACATACGATCTAAAAGATCAACTTGTTAAATTAGGATATCAAGATTTTACACTTGAAGATGTACGCAGTGTTGTTATCGAAATCATTGACAATATATCTAAAGAAGGAACCGAACAAAGTTTAATAGAAAACTTCTGTTCGCCTTCCTATTCGAATTATTTTGTTGCCTACTTACGGTAAATATTAGTTTCTCTATTGATCAAATACAATGTTTTTTTGGTGAAAAATATTATAGATTATTTGTATCTGGATATCTTCAAATGAATCGTGAATTTGTTGAAAATTTTATTGAAGATGGAAAAAGTATTAAAGAATTTTGTTGTACAGTATGTTTTATTTCTTATGTTTATCAATTAATATATCTGTTTTTTCAAAGGAAGTAGAACCCATGGAACGTGAATCTGATAATATACATATAATAGCCTTAACTAAAGCAGCTGTTGTTCCATTACGTGTGATTTATATGGATCGAAGCCAACAATCGTCGTTAACTATACATGATTTTGCTGGTACTGATGAGGGAACTAACGAAAATTTTGAACCAATGATAACCATGCTTTATCGACCTGGTCACTATGATTTATTATATGAAAATTAATATTCAATAAATGAATTAAGACATCCCGGTGATTTATTTGTTATGCTACATAATATTTTTTGGTCTTGTTCTCATACATACAATTGAATATTCATTTAAATAAACTCGAATTTCTTTTTTGTCTTTCATATGAAATAGTCATTTATAATCATCAATAATTCTAACAATAACACAAAACTATAAATCTATTCATATAGGCAAATACGTGTGAACGAAATGCAGTCAACCGTGACTATATAACGAAAAAATAAAGGAAAAATACAACATAAGGGTCTCTTTTTTTTCTTTCTTCCATACGTCAATGTAAAACGAGTGCAGAAAAATTGTTATAAATCGAAGTCATGATCGTCCACACAGCTCGATGTAATATTTACTGATAGATAGAGAAGAAGAAGAAACACGAATGATGGATGCGCACGACTACACCGATTAGAACGAGAGAAGCAACGAGAAGAAAAACCAAACTGAGGGAAATAAAGAACGACGACAACTATTTATTTCTCCTGCGCATATCACCAAATCATATAAAAATATATCGAGTATAAACGCGTTTGCGTACCTTTTGCAAACAAAAACATGATTGGGCTATCAAACTCAATTGTATTTTTGGTAATAATTTTTAGTGTTGCCAGTCAAGGAGATGTAGACCTTGGTTTTATCACTACGGACTATGATAAATTTATTGGCATGTTGTGTCATAGTCACTTAGGTGCACAATCAGGTATTTGCCGAAATACTTCAGCTTCTACACCACATCCTCCAGGAGCTACAACACCAGCAACAACTCAAGCTACACAAGGAATTTCTGGTTCCGGTTCTCATCTTGGAAGTAGTTCATCGTCTATTTCGCCTCTTGCAAGTGCTCATTGGTGTCATCTCACAAATGGTACAAATCTACCACTCGGCTATTTATTCATGTATGCACCATGCACAATATGTCAATGTACATCATCTCATAATGTTCTTTGCTCAAAACTTGCGTGTATGAACACCTACTGTAAAGATGATTCTACACCAGCCGTTAGATATGGTCAATGCTGTCCACAATGTGCCTATGAAGCTAATGCAACTGCATGCTATGTTAGCGGGGTCGGATTTCCACATGGTTAGTTTTAAAATTTATAGAACTAACATTATTAGGTTTTCTCTTATGTTTCTAATAGGCGCACTCCTTAAAAGTACTACCGATAATGTAAATTGCTGGTGTGAATACGGAAATATTGAATGTCGTCAGGCAACAACTTCTGTTTTCGCAGGTTTAGATCTTTGGGGTAATGGTACAGCACCTTATGTTATTGCTACCATCATATTAATTATTCTATTCGTTGGTTTATTACTTTGCTGTAGTTGCACACTTTTATATTATTATTATTATCAACGTAATCAACATGTTATTCAACAAGTGTATGATCAATACTGCAATAATACTGGTGGATGGCAACCCATGAATGAAGATGGTGTTGTTGTTGATGCTAATGCCGAACAAAAGCAAGCTGAAGCTGAAAACAGCCAGTTCAAAAATGAATATCCAACTGGTAATTCCGAAGCATTTGTTCCTCCACCATATGCTCTTTACAATGGCGCATATGTCAACGACGGCAGTGCCAATAATCAAAAACATGCTTAAAACGAAACAAGAACGTGACTTTGTCATTGACTTTAAACAAGACAATCAAATTGAAATACTATTTTTCTCTCTCTCTCTCTCTCTCTCTCTCTCCATCAAAGCATTTCAGAAATCTGTGATAAGGATAATCATCTTTGTACATGATTAGACACTTATATTTCTCATTTATATACAGTATTTTTTCTAATTACATCTTAATAGTTTGTGCCAATATTTTAAGAAAATCCATATTTTTATTATTTAAATAAAATTTATTTATTGCGAAATACGAGCGTGTGATCTAGAAATAGTCGTAATGCTCTTATCACATGATTGATCAATGAAGTAAAAAAAATTTAATTGCTTTACTTCAATGTTAATTTAATAGTAGAAAGATTTCATGGAGTAAAATAAAATTTTAACGTACTTTGCAGCAGGCGGCATCTATTTCTTACTCTAATGTACTCTTGAAGAGGCAGTTGCTAGATGCCACGGCAGAACGATAGGGAACAGTTATGGCTAGTTGACATACACGTTTTATCATCAGTATAGAACAACCATGTCGAACCTTCGTAGTACTGGACAATTACCATTAAAAACATCAATGACCAATAAATGGAAAGCTCAGTAATGAATTATAGTGTACGAGTTCCTATGATTTAAACTCAATATTTCTATTTATAGAGCACCCAGTAGTGAAATGCTCGAACGGCAAACACGAGCACTTGAAGATAGTCTCAACAAACTTAAATTAGCCATGCACCCTGAAAAAAATAAAGCAACGTATAATATTTTCATTCTTTTTTAGTATAAATGTTGTCATGTGTATACATATATATATATATATATAATAGTACTGATAAAAATGCTCCTATATGGGATAAAGGTAAATCAGGCCCACTATCACAATATGCAAATCATGTTTTGCGTGATGAACCAAGACGAGTATTCGATGTAAATTAATTTTAAACAAAACTGAAGTTTCTCCTTCTAAATGAACTCATTTTAGGCTAATAAACCAACAAAAATTCGAGTTCTAGGCGATGAACCTCCAGGTATAATTTGATTTCTTATCAAATCTAAATCTACCAATGTGTCACTTATTTTCATCTAGCTACTATTGTTCGACCATCACGTGTAGCTAATATATTTAATCCGAAACCAGCAACTACTGTCGCTAATAAGATTGTAAAATGTGGTCAATGCGAAAAGGATGAAGCTAAAATGGTAAATTACTTAATTTTGGATAGAGAAAATTTGATTTCTATCTTTAGAAATGTCTTGAATGTGCGGAATCATATTGTGCAACTTGTTTTGCACATTTTCATCTTCGCGGTGCTTTACAACGTCATCGCTGTATTTCATTAAATGATAGTCGGCCGCCCACGCCTCAAAAGAAAAAACCACCGTATGCTTTTTTTTCGCTTTACAAGCGTTTTATGTTGCTATTGTCATTAATATTCTAGTGTTGGCGCAGATGTTATATTTAAAGAATTACGTTTTGCTCAATCAAAAGATGATTTCTTTCAAAAATCTGCTACAAGCGCAGATTCATTTGAATATAACGATGATGATATGCAATCGGAAGATGGCGGAGGTGGAGAACTACTTAATGGTAATTATGATGAGAAAACAAGTGCCGCATCATTTCAACAAGCTCTTTTACAATGGCGAAAAGGTGATAGCCCAAAAAATAAATCGAAAAAAAGTAATCGATCAAAAAAATCGAAAGCAACACATGAAACAGGTGTCGATACAGTTTACGATACAAATACGAAATTAAATCAAATACCAATGCCGAATATTGAATTTCATTCATCGAAATTAAGTTACGGAGAAAAACTTCTGCTAAAGAAATATAGACGTGCTAATAAGAATAATCAAGACTTTTTTACTCAACAAGGAACACCAGACAATATAACATCAAGAGAACCATCGAAGAACAGTCAAAGTATTCATGCCAATCGTTCACTTCCACCTAATATTAATTTATACGACTCAAATATGGAAATTGAAGTAAGTTCAAATATTAACATGCCTAATAGAAAAAAGCGAAATATTGATGTAAATTATTCTATAATTTAGCCTCTCTATGACGATCTGCCAACAATGCGTGCAGATGAAAGGTAATGAAACTAGAGCATTCATTTTAATGGTCAATGAAAAATTTGGTTTTTTTTTCGTTTTAGTGCACGGACAATAACTGCAGAAGAAAATCATAATCATAATAATAATAATAATAATAATCATTTCGACCAAGATGACGATGATGAAGAACTAATGCGATTAAAATACCAAGAACGAACTCAAAGCCGTGCATCTGCAAGACCAATATCTCGTCCAAACAGTTCTGCTAAACGAAAAAATTCCATATCATCGAGACCACCTTCCGTAGCACTTTATCAACATCCTCTGTATAGCTACTTTCCGTATTTAACTATGTTCCACTCATTTTCTATTCAAATTTTCTAGACCATCACTATTAGCAACGAATCCAAGTGATGAACTTAAAGCGATCATTGATTCTCAATCAATACCATCTCGACCGTCCTCAGCTGCTTTAAAAAAACCACCGAAAATTGATTGTCGACGTATGTATAAAACATAACAAAAAAGGTTATTTTCTAAATAGCACTGTTATTCAATAGTTCCATCATTGTGGAATCGAAATTGGAAACCTGAACAGAGTGTGTCTGATGGCGCTGATATGAAATTAGTGAAAATCGATCAACATGCTGTTGATCAATTTGATTTAGCACTCAATGATTTACTTGATGAAGATAAAATTGAATTAGCCAATCATTCAGATAGTACAATCGAAACAAAACGTCCATCAACAGCCACAAAACCTCCGATAAGTGCTCGTTCTGAAAAAGCTAAATCCACAAATACTCCAAGATCTACACCGACACTAACACCAACACCTCGTCGAAATTCGCCATTTAATTTTAATGATTCACCTCGTAAAATAGACTCGTCGTCGTCGATGGACACCGGTGATGGTGGCTTTTTCACTGATGTTGCTCCTCGTAAAGCCCCTAAATCTCCTAGGCCACCGCCTGTGATTCAACAATCATCAACTGATGAATGGAAACAATTATTAAAAAATCGATCGGCTCGTTCATCCGTCGAACAACGCCCGATGATACCAAATTTAGCTTCATTGCGTAAAACATCTATTGAAAATTTAATACGTGCACCACCCAAACGTTCGATAACACTCGACGAAGCTCATCAACAAATCGATGAACAAAGTCGGCCAGGATCATCTCTGTCATCAGCTTCACTTCCCGTTTCAATAACATCATCGAAACCTGATTATATTACACGACCATCGATTGAACGACATCCAAAATTGGCACCACCACCAACTACTACCACTACAACGAAAAAATTTCGTGTCGAATATCCGAAAAAATCTTCTGCCACTCTCGCAGCTCCTTCGATGGTCATTGAAGGTAAAAAAGTGACATCAGCAAGAAATTCAGCACGCGATAGTGATGAATATCTACAACAATCAATGAATTCAACGCGAAATAAAATACCATCTGGCGTACAAAAATCTCAACATTTATTGAAAACCAGTTCAACAAGTTCAATGACAACAATTACTCGCGATGATAATATTCTAAAAGATGAAAGTATGACAATTACAGATCTACCACTAAATAAAAGTATGAATCGTCGATCAACAAATATTGATCAAGAACCGTCGAAGTCAAGAAGAATGGAATTTTCAGTCAGGGATGGACCTAAATGGCATCAATCATCGTCTGAGTAAGAAAAACATTTTTTTTGCAAATATTCAATCTAATAATCTTTGTAGATCCACAACGCTCAAAGCAGCTTCTTCCTCTCGACCACGTCGTTCGTCAAAAGTGAATACTTCTCGGCCAGGAACACCATCGAATCCAACCAATTCAAGTAAGGAGAAAACAAACTTTCAACAGAATAGAAATTCTATTTTGTTTAGAACTAGCCCAACAATTTAGTACGTATGATAATGATGATGGTCGATCATCACGTGCATGTCAAGATGTTGAAGATGAAGAATGTTTTAATCAACTTCGAGTAGAACTTACTTCTGAATGTTTGTCTCGACTTTCATCTTCGATATTTATTTAAATCGTAATTTTTTGATTTTTTTTTCTCTACACAGTGGGGATGGCAAGTCCTGGTTGGGATGCGAGCTTAAGTGAACATGTATTGAAAAATCTTCGTGGTACAGAAGTTCCGTTTAGTGAGAAAGAATTACAAGAGAACTTAACAATGCTCGAAATAAAATTACGGTAAATTTTTCTTATGAAAATAAAAAGAATTAATTTTTATTCTTTAAATAATTTATAGAGAAACTGAAACGGTGCAACGATCGCAAACAGATGATGATCTGTCCGTACATGAAGAAATTCGAAATTTATGAACACTTTTCAATAATGTGTTTTTTTTTTCGTTTGACTTTTATTTTTTCTATTGTATTGACCAGTGATTGTTAACTCACCAATGGTAGTAGAACGCATATTGATATTTTTTGTTTTTCCCATTTAATCGATTTAATTAATTCATTTAAAAAAAAATTAACAGTAGGAAAATTATTTTAGCTGCTTTAAAACTTCGATAACTTAAGCTACAAGTCTTTTCAGTAGCACGACTTGCGATAGAAGTGAATTTATCTACCAATTTAATGACACATTATACAAAACAAATATTAACTTGAATCAATATTTTGGTGTCATTTGCCTTTTGCTGTTTTTCTCTGGTGAAGAGATCCGACGGACTCGTTTTTGACACTTTCGTATTCCATTAATGAAAAAGTAAATTAGATCAGTCACATTTCGAGCAAAATCTAGACTTTGCTAATGAAATTTACAGAAGTCCAACCTCAACTACAATTAAAAATTTCATTGGATTACTTTGTGCATCCATACTTTACCACATGAGGAAAAAGTTTTTTTGTAATATTACAATTATTCTTGTATTTTTTCAATAAAAGCTATTGCATCATTTCTACGCATGTATTTCGTGATGTTATTTATTTAAGACCTGATGCGATGTCCTGCTTTAGATTAGTAAATATTCATCATTTTCTTCGACGTTCTTATTTTACAAGTAGAATCCATCCTTTCTTCGCCATGGAAGCTTTACAAGAAAAAGCCAAATTAGCTGATGAACGTATACAACAATTGAAATCACTTATTGCTACTATTGGTACGCGTACGTAAATGTTCATCTATCGAACTTAATAGAATAATTTCTTATCCTACAGGACAACTTGATCCAGTAGTATATATTCGTGGACTTCAAGATCAAAATACAAAATTAAAAGCACGAGTACAAAGTCTCGTTGACGAATTACTTACATTAGAAAATCAACGAGGAGGTAATTTATATTTATTTTAATAAGAAGAATAATAAACGACGTCTCGATTGCTTTTAGTAAAACAACAATATGATTTTACGAACAAAGTTCCCAAGGCTCCTATTCAATCAGTTGCTCAACCAGAAAAGCCAGTTGAAGCTCCAAAACCAGTTGTTGAAGCTGCTGCTGCTGCTGCTGCAGCTCCTAGTAACGATCAACAAGAAGCTAAAGATAAAAAAGAAAAGAAAAAGAAACCGGCTAAAGAAGGTTGTATATCTTTTGTTGGAAGAAATCACTTCTTCTAAATAGTATGTTTCGTAATTGAATAGAAAAATCAGGAAAAACACCTGCTAATACTGCAATCGATATAACACGATTTGATTTACGTGTTGGAAAAATTGTTTCAGCTGAAAAACATCCTGATGCAGATTCTTTATATGTTGAACAAATCGATGTTGGTGAAGGAAAACCACGAACGGTATTTCAAAAAATGAAATCACTGATTTCAAACACTGGATTTTCTTTTTCTTATATAGATATGCAGTGGTCTTGTTAATCATATGCCATTAAGTGATGTAAGCTGTCCGAAATATAAACTGATGGTTCTAATTTCTATTGTGTAAAATCATTTTAGCTTGATCAAAAACTTGTCGTCATCTTATGTAATTTAAAACCAGCGAAAATGCGTGGTATTATGTCGGAAGGCAGTAAGTTTTAAAGAACTGATATCATTGGAGAATATTTTAAATTATTCTACTTGTCTTCTCTAGTGGTTATGTGCGCATCAACACCAGATAAAGTTGAATTACTTCAGCCACCAAGTGATTGTAAACCAGGCGATCGAATCGAATGCGAAGGTTATGATTGTTCATCACCGGATGCTCAAATTAAAAAAGAACTATCCGATCAAATTCTACCTGGTATGAGTACAAATGATAAAGGCGAAGCAACATTCAAAGGTGTCTTATGGAAAATAGCTGGTATTACTGGTGTTGTCAAATCTACAAGTCTCACCAATGTACCTATTAAATAATCTAATGAAAACAACACTCTTGGTATGAGTAGCACAAATATTATCATTATCATATTGTTAAACTGTTTCGTTTTCTGATGATTTGACAAAATAAAATAAAAAAACACTATGATAGGCAGTTTTAACCGAATATATTCGTAATTCTATTATCTAATAAACAACATATTAAAGTCTTTTATCAGTGTAATTGATTTTGACCGTTTGACATTTTATATAAACAATGAACATTTTTTCTTTGTTAATTAGAATAATATCTAGATTATGTTTTCTTTGAAGTTTTTTCTTGTTTTTCATTTAAATAATCCTGTATGGTTTATATCCTCTATCTCCTGTTCTAAAGCGTCATCTATTGACCGAAATAGTCTAATAATTATTTTCAATTCTATACGAGTATTTATTACTACCAAGATGAAATATGATGCAAAATGAAAACATAATAATATCAATTAAATTTTTGAAGAGGCGATGAATCTTGATACATGGCAATCCCTTTTCCCCTTCGCGTTAAACACGTCTGTCTGTCTTCTTCTCTCTTTCATACATACCCCTCTCTATATGTTTAGGTTGATTTCTTCCTTTTTTTCTTCCTTTCTTCAAGCCAACTCTCAGTTTTTCCTTATCTTTATCGTTTGCTTTGCCTTGTTTTGCCTGTCTAAGAAAGTGTCTATCACGCTTCATTTCTTTGTACGTCATAGCCTATTTTTAAATGGCCACATAGACCAACTGAGCTCTCATTCATAGGTACTACTGTCTTTCTCAGATTTTCATATTAATAAAAAGAAAATTTTTTGCTGATATTACGCCTCAAGGCCTATCACACATGCTGTTCTATTGTTTGACTAGGAAAAAAAGATAAAATAAAGCAACAAGTGATTTCATCTATAAATAGAAGCGAAAAACAAAAAAAGTACATTCTTCTCTCGCTCTCTGATATTCGATAATATGAGACAATAAACAAATGGAGTAATGGAGCTGTTTCACCGTCGGCTCGATTGTGGATGGGTATTTCTTTCTTTCTCACTCTCTCTCTCTCTTGCTAACGTTCTTTTGCTTGCTTGTGATTAGACAAGCCAGGCGGGATGTTGTATATATGTGCATCCCTTTCTCATACCCTTTTTTTTTCTTTTTTCAACCCATAAGAAATAAACAGCGACAGAGGACATTTTTATCCCCTTATTCGTTCGTCTTAGCATACAACATAATATCGTCATATGGTCGTTTTTCTTTTGCCGTGCTTATAAAAAAAATTTCTGTCTTTTGTTATGGTAAGACTCATACTTCGAATTCTATTTCTTCTTCTTTTTTTTCATTTCTCCTGGTGTGCGTGCATGTTTACACACGCACACATTGTTCTCTTGGCGTCGAATAGAAGAAAAAAGACCAACATCGCTCGTGCGTATTCAGTGAAATAAAAGACGAAGAGAAAGAGAGGAGAATATATGTGTGCATGGACGCACGCACACTTGTTTCATCAGTTCAAGTATCTGTCCGGTGAGTTTGAACCCTACAGATATATATATATATATACGATTCTGTTGTTGGCTTTCTTCTTCATTTTTTTCCTCTTCTTTCCTTCGCCTATGTCGTTTACTTGACGAACGGGCACATAGTAGTCATATTACAGAAGGGCAAAACGGACGATACATGTGTTCGGGCAGGCGTTGAACAAGTAAAAGAGGAAGAAAAAAAATGAGTGAGAGAAAGAAAGAAAGAAAGAAACTGAACTATCGATTTTTGACAATTCTGGCATAGTTCATAGAAAGGGCGATGGCATCATCCGTATGACTTCTTTATTCTGTTTTAGATCATCATCTCCATTCATATTTGCTTAACATTTCGTGTTTTTGTTCATGCTTGTCGATTGATCTCTTTCTCTCTCTCTCTCATTGTTTCTCTCTCACTCCTTTTTTTCATTTCGACATTTGACAACCAGAAGAAGAAAAAGAAAAAGAAAACCGAGAGAGATCGTGCATATACACAACTATTTGTCTTTCACATCTGTCATCGGCATTTGTTCAAAACAAAATAAAACTTTAACACAAACAGTGGTCTTTACTCTGTGATCAACGGCTATACTCGTGTGATAAACGAGTGTTTCCTTTTTGTTTATTTTTCTTCTAAACGAAATCAAAATAAAACAAATTATGATGATGACCATGGATCAACCTTGTACTGGTAAGAAATTTTAGAAAAATACGATGATAAATAAAAAAACGAGGCATTTTCTTTCCTTCTATTCAATATTTAGGTTTCGGTGATTTTGGCGGTTATTCTTCATCGGATCCGTTTACAACGAATCAATCGACATCATCACCTATTAATAGTGATCCAGATGTTGACTGGAGTGTATTTGAGAATGCTGGTATGTAAAAAATACAACAAGATTTTATGTATTATTTTTAATTCTTTTTTTTCAGAACGATATTTATTACGTGATGATAGTGCATGGATAACACGTTTGAGTAAAGACTTTTGGTGGAATCTCGAGCGTATATCTGAAATGATAACTTCAGATTATACACCGGCTCAACAAATGAATAATAATAATAATAATAATGGTACATTTAATCGATCATCTTTACCAGCACAAAAATTTCAACAACAACAACAACAACAACAACAACAACAACAACATCAACACCAACAGCAGCAACAACAACATCAGCACCAACATCAGCAGCAACAACAACAACAACAACAACAACAGTTTATTCAACCAGTTGCACAGACAAAAGCTTATTCTCAACAACAAGTACCAACACCAATGCAGTTTAGTGGTGTTCCACCACGTAAAATCGTTGGCCAACGCGCACAATTACCAACAAATAATACATATCGAAATAATTCAATGTTTAATAATGGTTTTGCATCACCACCACCATCATCATCGTCTTCATCGTCATCATCTGGTTCAACTATTGTTCGACCAATAAATAATAATAATAATAATAATAATATTCATAACAATGCGATGAATTCAAATATTAACATTCCAGATAAATCAAATTTTTTTCAAGCTTTTTCATCAATGTCTATTGCTGGTGGTAATCATGATCAGGATATGGAATATAATCCATTTCAATCAAAAATATCTTTCGATAATAATATGTGGGGAAATAATTCCCAACAACCAATCCCGTGGCAATAAAAAAAATAGACAAAAATACAAAGTCAGTCAAACGTATCTCATATCCCTTTCTTTTCTGCTCTTTCTCAATCGGTTTTTTTTCGTTTCTTCTATCCGACAAAAAATATGCGCACCTTTTTTTTCTTCTCTTTATCTCTTTTTTCCTGTGATCTATTCTACTACAACTCTTCTTTCTAATAGTAGTTAGTCGTGTGTGCGTGTGCGTTTGTCTTTGCAATAGTAGAGCGTGTGAGAACTCTTCTTCCAAACCAAAACGAAAAACAAAAAAAATCCCAAAAAAATTTGATTCTTTTTTTCTCTTCTAAAATTGAACAGCAAAGTTTTTTCTTTTTTTTTCTTATACATGTGCTGCTGTATTATTATCCACATTACTGATGATAGGATGTGTTGTCCGTCCTTCGAATGACGCGTTGGGTCTCTCGAGTTCCTTCCATTGTCGATCGAAATGATAATGTTGACTTTAGATATACATGTAAACCCTCTTTACTAGTTTCTTCTGCACAAATGTCTGATGTCGGTTCTTGATTTTTTTTCTTGATTTTGTTCATTGCGCAATAGTTTTCTTCTTCGGCTTTTATTGAATGCACAAAAACTAATGTACGTTTTCTCTTATTCTACTTTTTCACAACAGTGAAATACAACGACTAGATCAATGGATCTCATGACAAAAATAATGACGACGAAAATTTTAAAAAATTACTGTGCGTGTGCGCGTTTTACGATAAAAAAAAAGCTTATATATTTACATGTTTACAGTGATGCTGCGAACAAATATACACACTGTATTCTATCTTATCGTTGTGTGCTAGTCCTATTGTGTTTTTTTCTCTTTTATTTCCCATGCTGACTATGTCCGGTGTTTGTTTATCTTGCTTCCAGTAACATGCGTTTATCTAAATATGTATGTCCCATGTATCAACACCATCGTCATCATCAGGGATTGAAGCTTCTTCAGTCAAAACAGTGAATAGATTTTTTGCCCCGTAGTCGTTTTCCATTAGAAGCCAAAAAATGCGAAAAGTACATAGAAAGCCTTTATTCTCGTTAGAAACGAAACGAAACAAAAGAAAACTAATGCAAACACTTCTTTCTTTTTTCCTCTTTCTCTCTCTTTTTGTTTTGAATGCTCATTTTCTTTTTTCTGTCTAAAACAATGACTCAGATATTTCTTGTTCTTTCGACATACACAAGTATATATGCTATAAAAATAAAAATAAAGTATCAATCATAGGTCGATAACTAAAATAACAAACGAAATACAATGAAGAGCTAAAGCGTTGGATTTTTCTTTTGGACTATTTCTCCCTGTCTCTCTCTCTCTCTCTCTCTCTTTGTTCCGGTGTGTGTTTGTCTCGTTTTCTTCTAGTGCGTTGGGTGCTTGTTTGAACATGCGTGAGATATCGAGTTTTACGCATTCTCCATCTTTACCTTATTGCACATTTGTGCGCATTTTTTTGCTTCGTCAGTCATTTCACATTACAGTTATATACAACTATTAAAGATGCACATTCGTGCGATTCTTTGTGTGCGGCTGTGTATATATATTTTTTTTGCTGTCGCCTCATTCAAATAATCCTTCCAAATTCAGTGCATTTTCGCTGCTATTCGCCAGTGAACTTTATCTCGTTTGTTTGTTTTCATCTTTCTCGTCTTTCCAAAATAGAAAAAAAGAAAGAAAAACTTGGAAATACAGAAAAGCTATAGGAAACCAAAATCAAGTGTTGAATTCAATTAGGTTTTTTCAGTCATTATGTCTCTTCTTCTTCTTCTTTTGCTCGCTCTCTGTTTTTCTCTTTCGATTGTTCTGAAATGATCAAAAAAACAATAATAACTATAAAATATATACGCTGTTATTTCTATATTTATCTCATCTGTGCGCGATTGTGTTATTGTGGTTATTGATCGTTTTTCTTTTTCTTCAACTTTTCTTTTTTGTGTATTTGTTCTGTGTCGCTTTAATGAACTCAATCAATGTAAAATGCACGCACAAATTTAAATAAAATAACAGAATTTTATGAAAAGTTCTTTTTCTTTTTCTCGTCAAGTGGTGAACTCGAAAATGAGTTGATCATGAGGAACACAGAAATCATGACAACGAAGCCCTTCGACAATCATATTCAATGGTGTATCACATAAATTATATTGGCTTCTTGGATTCAAAAGGGAGTTCTATCGAAATAGATGGTCCAATTTTAATTTCATATTTTATATATTATTAGGTTGAATATGCACATATTTCGCTGGTTATGTTAGTTGATAATTGGCATCGTTAGTTTGATTGAATATAATTCATCGATGAATAAAACATATCATTTGATGTTTATTCAAATCTTGGAAAAGTGTAACATTTCTATCTAGGAAAATCTTAATAATCATTTAGCTGTTCACGCATCTGTAGGATTATTTAGACGTTGTTTTAACGAGAAGACATGATACTGATGTCTTTTTTGTTAATCGAACATAAATTTTCATAAACACGATCTCTCTTGTTCCCTTGATGGATTAAAGGCTTTTTGGTGCATACAAAATTTGATAGTAATATTTATATTATCTCAGTTGACAGACATGAGTTGTATCGATATCGCTTGTAGTTACATTTTCATTTTAACTGTTTTTCGTCGAAGTTGCCTCTGGCTTGATTACATGATGACAAAAGCATAAGCCTCATCTGGCTTTGCCCATTTGTTTGAAAACCCAACATTGCAACGAATTCTTTCAAGAAAGCCAAACAATTCCTCGTTCTCCATTTGACATTATTTTCTTTGGCACAAAGGTTAATTAGAATACGATGGAATGTTCGATTTTTCTTTTGTTTCATCATTTAACATGGTTCTAACAAATTCCCTTTTTTTTTTTATGCCAGTCTAATCACATATAATAACTCTTTCTTATCAGTTATTTGTCTGGAGGCAAAACACCATCTCTGATTTGATTCATGTGTCGTGTTTACATGAAAGGCGACTGTACATCTAGGTCGGCTTGTAAAGGGACAATTGTCGTCATCGATAAGCCAATGCCATTACAAGAGAAAAGAAGAGGACGGCCTCTCTATCTGTGTATAGCCGTAAACATTATTCTCCTCGTCAAGGGAATCTTTTCTTTATGCATGTGGCAATAGATAGATATTAGATCAATACCATTGACGTCGACAATCATACAGGAGAGGAGAGAAAGAAGATAAAAGGAACAAGGAAAAGAAAGAACGAAGAGCAAGACATTACCATCTGAAGGTGATAGCAAAAGCATAACATAATCGAGAATTGCGAACAAGACGGCGAGTGTTGTTTTCTCATCAATCTAACTAAGTTCTCAACGCGTTGTCACATATCAGCAACACCAATAGAACAACAATAAAAGCAATTCATGTCTCTATTAATTTTTATTTTGTATTAAAATTTAAAAAGCAGCAAGATGACGAGCAGTATTCGTAATATTCCTCTTGATATAGCATCTGAACGTATTCTAAGTTACCTTCGAACACATAATTATGATGATTGCGCTCTTTACCTTAATCGTCTTAGTTCAAATACATTCCGAAAAATTCTATCCAACTATCTACCAATTGATACATTACTCGCTCAGCTACCATTTTCAATTGAAGTTTTTGAAATAGTCTATTCGAAAATATTCATCTACGATCCAGATATATTTCCTGTACGAATACTTAAACCGGAAAAGATTATTTCAAAAATGATAAGTTTATTTGCAACATCATTTATTGAAAAGCCCGTCACAACATCGTCTTCAACGGCACAAACAAAAAAAGAGATCGTCATGGATGATGAACGTTTATTAGCCAATCTTTCTAGTTTACTTCGAATTATTTCCTATGTACAACCAATTTTATTCAAACGTCTTTTACATCAAAAAGAAACCATCGACGAGTGTATTCTCTTTTTTGAACAATCGAATTCGAATACAACTAGTATTTATAGTGCATTGAAGAAATCTCCGTCAACAACTTCTTTAACACAGAAGAATCTTGAAGAGACAATTCGCCAAGAATTAGAATCAACAATTAATTGCTGTCAACAAGCATTACATAGCCTTGATGGAAAAGCAGTGACAGCTCGAACATTAACATCATCACATACAACACCAGTAGCAACAAGACAAAATTCATCAATATCAACAACGCACACAACGCCAAGTTCATTTGATGATATTCAAAATCGTCTATTTCAACATAAAGCTATTTTAAATATCATTGAACCACATTTATCTCGTACGAAACTCTATTCAGTGATCGATAATCTTGGAAATAAAGTTTCAATAGATAAACAAATTCTATTGGCTTATTCTCATATAAAAATACACGAAAAACAAATTCCTTTCGGTGAACCACTTTTACCATTATTTAAACGATTTGCTTTTGCTTACGAACGTATGTTAATATTCAAACGAACTTTTTCCTGTTTGCATTTTTTAACTATTTTAGGTATCATTCAATTGTGGCGACATGTCACTGACAGTACATTGATTGACGAATGCACCGATGATATTATAATTAGTAATACAACTACTAAAGATGTTAGTGGATTTTGTTTCGAACGATCACGCTCTCGTAAGTATATTTGTAAGAAAAACGACAAGAAATGCCAGAAAGAGAGAGGCAACGAGCCAAGGTGGTCATTTTTCTATTTATCCTCCTAATCGATACGCGATGATGTTAACATACAATAGAAGAAAAAAATATCGAGATTCTTTTGTTTATATACGATCGAAGATTGCCGCGCTCACACAGTCAATCGCGCTTTTCACTGTACACAACAAATGTTTATCGAACAGCAGTAGCCTATCAAACAAGAAAATGATTTCTCTCCCTCTAGGTCTTTTCTGACAACAAGCGGATTGAATGAGGAGAGAAAACGAGTGAGTAGTACGGCAATTATCTAAACGACAAGTCGAAAAGAACTTGTAACTAAATATACTTCATCAAAACAAAGTAATTATGTTGTGTCTATACAATTAACGCAATACAAAAAAATGTTCGCTTATTGCTTTTTTGTACGTAATAGAAGACAGAAAAGCTACATTATATTAATTTGCATGTTTGATCGAAAATTACCAAGTGTTCTCCGCTAGTATATGTAGAATATAGTACAAACTACGAGCGCAGAACAAGACGAATGTAGCAAGATGTATGCACCGTTGTTCTTCTATCATATACGAGCATAAACACCCTCATTGGTTTGCCGATACGTTCTTCAAATGACAACAATTAGACTAAGATCGAAGAAGCCCAGCGTGCACAGTAGTCATAATTATAATAGTAAATACGTTCGTCATTCTGTTTTAGAAGAACCACGGCCCTGTCGAAATCGATATGGTGAGTAAAAAAGTTTTATTTCTCTAATAAATTGACTCGTCGATTGAATCAATCAACGGACCGGACGCAAAATGATTATTTGTTGATACGTTCAAGTTTATTTTCGCAAAACAACTATAGACGTCATAGGGTGCAATCAGAGCAGGATAGAATTAGAGAAAATGTGGATCTCACGGCACGTACACTCATTTTATAGAGATTTATTGACGTTAGCCGCCTACATGTTCCGCTGATACCGATATATATTAGATAGAAAGCATTGCGCACAGTGCCGTGCCTCGCATTTGTTCATCTTAACCATGTTATCTCACTAATAGAAGAAGGAAAACCACTTACGATAAGATAATCAATCCATGATGAGGAGAAATACCATTGTCATGGTATTAGTGTTTTTATCATTTTTTCCTTCTTCATCTTCTTGATAATGAGAACAGAGATCAAATTTCTTTACTTATTCGTCGATGGTACTGTGCTCAGTGTTACTAATCGTAAATTCAATATTCACAACGATAAATAAAGGATTATCTAAGTATACGAACTTTCTCGTTGTCCTTTTTTGAGTATAAAATGAGTAAAAGCACGAACGAAGATCAACTGACACTTTACTTCACTACTACTCTGTTATGTTCGACATCGCCATATGCTACGATGCATAGATCGTTCAGGTTTCCACTGACTAAGTTCTTATATCATGGTGAGTCTCTTCCTCGTGTATATACTTTTTAATCCCCTCTCTTATTCTTTAATAGAAATCATATTGTTTTTTTTTTGTCTTCGCATTTATAGACACCGAACTTCTGTTATACAAGGACGACATGGCGTTTAAAAATGAACCAATGGGTAAGTTAATATTTCATATTTTAACAAAACCAAATTTCAAGTCTTTTGCATCATTTATTTGTGAGATGAAAATACTCCATCGGGAGATATAGATTATGATTGACATAATCTCATGTTACACATGTGTTCGAACTACTGATACTTCCGCCATTGATACATAGCGAATACCTCCTAACTGACAATCATCGATGAATATTTTATTTGCTAGTATGCTGATCAATGAAGAAGACAATTAGTTCTACTACTAGTACTACTAATAGATTATGGAGATACAGTCGGCGACGTCGTTTTGTCCTTCTGAAAAATATCTGTTAATTATAAACATTTCTTCTTTAAGCTGTGGCTTGTTATTGCAGACGACTTTCTCGGTATACAGCTAAATAATGAGTATCTGCTTTTAATTCAAAGATGCTAATGGTATCATAATCGTTTGATAAGGTTGCCTTGAAAGATTAGAATGTTAATTGAAAAACTGCGATAAACTTAACAATATAACTTCGTAATTAGTTTAGATTTTCGACAAAGATTTAATCTATGGTGATGAAATTATTTAGCAATGTTCTTGATTGATTGACATTGAAAAATCAATATTTAAGAGAAAACGTCAGTTTTCAACACTTCGTCGTATGACACCAAACTTAATATACCAGTCGAGATATAAAAATACATATCAATGACATTGATACGTAGATGAAGTTGACGACTCAGGACAAGAAAAGGTCATCTTCTATTGAATTTCAGTAACATCTGTGTATACATCACATAGTTCAATATTCTTTTTCTTCTCAGACAAAATACTAGAAAATACATTTGGGGATATTTAATAGGCCTCATTCTTCTCCTCGCTCTTCTTATCTTCAGAAAGATATAATTTCTTGTCATTGCGTTTGTACTGACTAAAAAGATGAAAGAGCAAACATATTCTTCGTTCGATTAATCAAATAGCAGTTCATGGGAAAGAGAACATCAGCATGATATTATTTTCTTCTCCGCCTGGTTGGATCTTCGGTTATTCTAATTCACAGTCGGAGATGTTTACCTCATACGGTTTTATATAATGACACCAAGCAAACAGGGTCAAAACGAAACGACGATTCAAGCATAAACTGTTGTTGCTCATTTTATTTCTACTAATGTTCTCATATATAAACAATAAATGCGGAAAACAAACATCAATACAATCAAGGCTGCAATGGTTTGTCCTGTTTAATTACTCATAGAATTCAATATTGGATACCAACGAGCGACAAAAGTCACGTCTATTTTTATACAACTCGAACAAATATACGTAATTGTAGGATGTTGTTGAATAATAATCCAATATGCAAGCATTCGCGCGAGGTTAAGCTTTTCCCAGTGACAAATGAGCTTGATTATAGCTATCACTCATCCATTAATAAAATATTGCTCTTGTATGTTACCCAGAATACGAGAAAGACGAGGTAGCACGTCACACACATAGAAAATGGAATAGAGAGAAAACGAGCGAGCGAGCGAGAGAGAGAGAGAGAGAGAGAGAGATTTCTCGACTAAATGTACGCACGTACTCGTGCAGCATTGCTCCCTGCATATCCAACCACATAACATATCTACCGAACTTCATAATAGTATAGCAAACATAGTTTTTATTTTGCTATTCGTTCAATGTTTCATTTCCAATATTATTTTCAAATATACATATCGAATTGTTCTCCATAACATCAAGCCACTTGAAGAACCGCATAGAAAAACCAATAACTCTCATAAAATAAAAATGTCAAATTGTGCTGAACTTCAATATTTCTACGCTCAAGAACCATATATCATCGATAGTCGAATTCCGAAACAGCAGTCTGCCAACAAACTTGTCAACGGATATCGTTCCACGGCCGCACACTATCTCAATCGAACAAAAAGCTTTCATCTACCAACAGCAAATCATAACAATAATAATATCCAAGTATGTTTATCAGGCAATCATACACTACCAAATAATCTCTTGCATTCGATACCAAACAAAATGGATAATGTAAATGTTCCAACAAATATAAACATACATTCAAATAACATTTCGATGTTCGCCCATCAAACAAATTCCTCTATGCTACCTTCGAATAATAATAATAATAATTCAATCGATAGTAGTAAATCTCAAGGTATTGTAAGTACATTGCGTCGATCGCTACGAAAAAATAAAGAACGATTTTATAATAAACGATCAACGGCAATGAAATCGTGTCATTCATTAAATACTTATGAACAAACAATGGCTGATCATCAAGATATTCACCTAAAACCTTCAATGACACCAATTCTACTCTGTCGCCATCAATCTTCAATACCTACGATTGAAACATGTTCGATGAGAAATATTATTGTAGGCAATGGCGATGATGACGAAATGCGTAAGACAAACAAAAATTATAAACGACTATTAGTTAGCTGCAAATTTATTCAGATATTTTCTTTTCATAGATATCTTAGCATAATATTTATCATCATTATACTCGTTTCATATTAACAAGCGTAATATCGCAATGACATCGTCTAATTGTTTTAACAGAGAAAACTTCTATACTGCATAGTTTGCGTCATAGAGAAACAAAAACCATTACATTTTTTAGCCATCGAAGATCCAACGAAAAAAAAAAGACTGATTTATGAAAATAATTTAATTAATTATTGACATTAAGTAAGATACGAGTGTAAATGGTACGTTTTATTACATCAGACATATGTGTGTATGAATATATCAAAACAATGGATATCACTTGTTTCTTTTTCTCGATTGATAAAGGTCGAAATATGAACAGCTGTAGATGCTACTCTATTTGTTTCATGTCTGCTATTTATATATAGTCTGTAGCCAAGAATCAAAGAGAAAGAGAACTAGATTATCCGATAAATAGCACTTTGATTGGCAATCGACACATTGTTGTCATGTAGAAAACAGATTTTAACGTTTGTACACATAGAAACAACGATAACGAGCATGCTGATGTTACAAGCTCGATTTCTTGTCTATTTGACGTCATCAGCATCGAGTATTCTTTTTTTTCTCCTTCTTCTTTCTGTTTGCAACGAAGAAAATAAACGAAATGGTCCTATAGATGTATGTACATCTGTTTTGTTTTTGCTTCGAGTATTCACATAGTATCGAGCGAAGTAACAGTCATGTCTACAGCTTTATCGTGCATGTATTACGATAAATTAAAATGTACGTTTCTGGGTTTTCTTCTTGTTGATCAATCCATACATATTATTGATTTTGTTTACTTTTAGCTCCATTACAACCTTTAACCATGAATGGACGCGAGCAGCGAAATCGTATATTGGCTAATGGATCTATTGCTCAACATCAGCTATCGTCTATTTTACCGCCGGCCACATCGCTTCAATCGCTATCGCCTATGAACACGTCAATGAATTCGCCAGGAAATATTCTATCGTCAGCAAGCAATGTAGAACAACAAACAATGACGAACTTAGATTATGACGAAAGAGAAAAATTAAAAAATGATTTGCAACAAATGAAAATTGAATTACAAAAATCAAAAGAAACTATAGCACGATTACAAAAAAGCGAAGAACAAATGCGTGAAAGGTAAAGTTCAAATTCATTTTCTGCTCTTATCTTATTGATAGGAGTTAATAGACGAGAAAAAGAAAATTTCACGAGCCTTAATATCGGACAAAACTAAATATAGTATCGATTATATTTAGCCTTGTCTTACAATCTTAGGGCAGTAGTCTAGATCAAATTTGTATGGATAACAAATATAAATGTCTAAAGTTGGATTATAGAAAAATCACGATATTCATCTAATGAATAGAACCTTGACATTTTTCAAAATCAATAATGAATTGAATATCTGTTAATGAATAAATTTGCTTGCAGAAATATGATAGTCATTTCGAGATAGATGATCCTACTTCGCAGTTGTTCGATGCTTGTGAAGAAGTCTAGCGAGCTTGTTTTTGGTCGAATAACAAAAAATTCTATTATGAAAACATAAATGTGAATTCATGACATTTATAGGTTAATCATATTTATTTGTAAATTCTTCAATAGAAGAAAGTATCAGACGTTATCTTATGCGTATCGCTATTAAATAACTGTTTATTGTCTAGTCAGACGTATTTTCCCATAAGTCTCGAAGATTTTTATCTAATGGAAATAATTGATTAACTATTTGCAAACGTTCTTCTATTTAGACTAGCCGAACAAGCTCAGCGTCAATTAGAAAAAGGTGGGAAATTTGAAGATTTAAATCAAATATCTCGTCCGACGGAATTAATTCGTTCCTATAATACACTTTATTCACAAGCTCGTATTGATGCACTTGACGCATTAGAAAATATTCGTGAAATGTCCGATGCTGAAGATCTTAAATCGAAATTACTTTTTTCTGTTGTTGTTGTAAGTTGATTTTGTGAAGAATTTTTACGATGCTTTAACTTTCTTGCTGATTAGCTTGCTTTTCGTCACGCACAAATTCAAGCAAAAGATATCCGAAATAAAATTAAACAAATTCTTCAATTATCAAACGATAAAAGTTCAATAACAATCGAAGAAACTATAGAGAAATATCTTAGAAGTACAATATTAAAATATGATGTTGGCAAAGTTGCAGTGGTATGTACGGACTGAAGATTTTTTGTCTTTATTTTGTTAAGAAATTATTTTAGGAAGTAGAAAATCAATTGTGGGCCACATTATATGATTATCCAGCATTGAAAAATTGTCATGAATTACTTAAATATATTAATTCAGCTTGCCGAACAGCGTACGTACAATATATCGGTTTTATAAACTATAGTTAGAGAATAATGTTTCTGCATTGCCATCACCTAATGATAGAGTCAATAAGCTAATCTCTTTTACACAACTGATATTAGCTGTTAGTCCTGGATAGAAGGATAGTCTGACGTAGAACTCCTACGATTGTTAGCTTAGGTTTTCCGTATTACATTAATCAATCATAGGCCGACTTTATCTTAATTCATTTGCTAGTTTTGTAATACAAGTAGTTATTCGCTGCTCTAAAAAATATTTTACTCACACACAAATCACTGAAAAATCCGGGATTAGATTATGACATAAATTCGCTTTTGTTCTATTATAGCTGGGGACTTGTCAATCAAACTCCATCGTATTATATTGAATTTCAGCCAATAAAATTCGATAGACTCATTCATGAACGTTTTCATACATCCAACAATGACAGTGACACAATTAATGAATATATATGGCCTTGTTTAATCGATGGACGTGATCGAACGTGTGTAGCAAAAGGTGTTGTTATCACTGATGAACATTATTTATCAATGTCAAAACATCTATCATCTTAGCACAAATATATTTTTACAATGAATAAATATCCCGAATAGCAGCAACATTATTTTCTAGTCAGTCGATTACCGACGACATTCCAAACCAACGAAAATGAATTTTAATAGACATGAATAACACCCTTTCACGTTTTCTCTTTCTTTTTGTTTTGTTTTGTTTTATGTGTGTATTGCAAATGAATATTATTTAGACAGAATGACATAAGTTGAATTTCTTGTTCTTATCTTCTTTCTACTTTTATTCTTCGGAAATAGAATTAGTAATATGCTCTGAGTTTTTTCTTTTTGTCCCGGATATAGACGACGTATCCATATCTTCGATGACTTCATCCGTTTTAGGTATCGATGCTATTGTAGATAAATAATCGATAGTAAAGATATTATTTTCAACACTAAAACAAACAAACAAAAAAAAAAGAACAGAAAATTTGTTTTGCTTTTTTCCTTTCAAATTTCTTTCACTTACATTTTACCCAAACTGTCATGTTTTAATGTAAGATTTTTCTCTAAATTGCATAATGTTGTTAGAATTTTAGTTGAGTTTGGTTTTAAATTGTTTGTATGATGCATTAGAATATTATAAATCCATGATAGATAAAATGCAAAATGACGAGAATGTTGAATTTGTTCACTAATAAAATTTAGTAATCTTTCAACATAAAGAAGTGGCAATGATCGACATATATGTTCGACTAAATAAATGAGCAAACTTAAACGATATAGTTGTACTAACAAATTAGACGATGTCAAAGCTATGAATAACTAAACGGATCTAAAAGAGGAAAATATTGCTATTTTCTGATAGACGAACGCTGCGTAGACCTCCTGCAGGCAGATACTTTGATTATAAGGTCATAGACTATTTATCAATAACGTCTGATTGTCATATAGGAAACTAATTGTTTAATGTGTTTCTGATGGACGAAGTAAGACAAGTATATTACAACACAGAAAAATTTTCAATCTTACCTTTATTTGCATCAATATTTTCAATAATTTCCGTAATTAATGATTTTTCATTAAGTTTCAATGCCATAAGTAATGCCATATACGAATCATTTTTATCGTAAAGTGTTTGTCGAATACTTAACGGTGTTATTGTTTCATTTAAATCAATGGGATCAAACATAGCTGTATTATCAATCGAATATATCAGTAAACCTTCCGTTGTACAAGCTGCCCATGCACGTCCTATAATCGAAAACGATAATCTATCATTGAATTAAAACTAGTTTTACCTGTTGGTGAAAATCGTACACATGTAACTAAAATTTCCGGTTTAAAATGACGACTGCTATGATCGCCTTTTCGTACACCTGGTAGACGAATATTTTTTCCATTTTCATCTTCATCTTGGCCCATATCAATTAAAGCTAAACTACCGAATTCAGTCATTTTTCGTCGATTGAGATATTCCTTTAATATGCAAAGAAAAAAAATACAACAAGATCATTTTTTCATTACCGAAAATCTTACATTCAATCCATCAAAACTTTTATTGCAAGTTATTTCAAAACGTTTAACAAGTATTTGTTCTTGAACATTATAAAGTGAAATATATTTCGATCGGCCACCAGCTAATATATAATTACCATCGAGCGTATATGAAATACTTCGATATGCTCTAGAAGCAGAATAAGTTTATAATAAAACTAAGTATTTCTTCTAGAAATCAAACCTTCCGAATGTCAATTTTTTTCCAGTTACTTTATCTGTTTCTTTTCTTGCATAACCTAAATCATGTTTGCCTTCAATCGATGCCATTTGTTGACCGGTTTCAGGATGAAAGAAAAGTATTTGTGCATCAACAGTCGATACAGCTATCTGTTGACCATCAGGACGAAAAGCACATGATAATGCTACAAATAAAACAACTCAATTTTGATGACGAACAAAAATAGGAGTTCGCTATTTCAAACCATCAGTTGAGAGAGTAAATGTTTCTCTGGCACCTTGACTATCAAATAAATTCCATGTTCGTAACGTTTTATCCCATGAACAACTAGCTAATGTTGTTTGTGTAACATTACGACCGAATGTTAATGCACTAATGGGACCTTCGTGTCCGCTGAGAATCTAAAGTCGAAATGTAAAATCATAGTTTCCGATTGAAAATATGCTATTTACATCGAGCAATTTTCCAGTTTTAATCGACCAGACAAATATATTAAATGTATCAAAACCACCGGCACATACAACTTCAGCAGCAGCATCTAATGCTACACAGGAAAATTGAACTGGAGTTGGTGATGTATAGGTTCGAAAATTTCGATATCTTTAAATATATATATATATAGATATATAATTATAAAAAGAAATTGATGTCACAGTTTTGTCGAACCTTAGAAGATCATAAGCACGAACAGTACCGTCAAGTGAACTGGATACAATAAATTGTCCATTGGCAGCAAATTCAAGTCCAGTTATGGTTGATGAATGTTCAGAAAATGTTACAAAACAAAAACCATTCGATGTATTCCATAATTTGATCTAAATTCATATTCTATCGTCATACGAGCTATGTTGAACAAAAGAAACTAACTTTTCCATCGTCACCACCACTGGCGATATGCATTCCGTCAGGTGAATAAGTCAGCTGAGTCATATTATTGAAATGTCCTTGTTGTTTGAGTACATATGTTTGACTTTGCCATTCCCATACAACAAGTTGACCAAGATTTGGACAAGCTAATGCAATCCAATCGCCTAATGGACTAAATAATGTTGATGTTATCATTTGTTGTTGATCACCGAGACTTTAATAGAAACACAAGAGTAAATATTTTACATCATGAACAGAAATTTATGTAAACCTTAGCGAATGAATCATATTAAAATCAGGCATTTCATGAAGATAAAAGTGTCCATTTGAAAAACCAGCAACTAACATATGTGTTTTCTGATGATAATCAGCACAAAGAAGTAGAGCACCCCGATCGGCACCTTCAAATGATTCTTTATAATTAAATCTTTTTAGACAAAAAAATAGAAATAGAATTCTTGTCGAAACCGATATTTTGCAATATACTTATTTATTCGTTTGAAAACAACCATATCATCTTTTGTTGGATTTTTAAGAAGATTTTCATCTATACGTTTTTGTTTTCGTTCAAGTTTAGCTCGCTCTCGTTCAACAATATCATCTAATTGTTCATCATCATCATCATTATCATCATGACCATTTGATGACTCAGGTATTTCATCATCATCATTATCGTCGTCTTCTTCTTCATCGGGTATATAGGGCATAGGCTCCATGGATGTTAAATCCATATCAGCTGCCCAATAGTTTACTTTAGCATTTTTACAAATGGTCATGATCTATTTTTAAAAGACAAAGCTGTAAATTCTCAAAAATAAAAACGAAGATTATTATTGACAAACATTGAGTGAATTTTGTTCAAAAAAGGCACCAACTATTTCACGACCATGACCAGCTAATGTAAATCGATGTAATTTATTGAGTAGAGGTACACTAAATACTTGAGTTGTCATATCTGCACTACCAACAGCAAGAACACTAGGAAACAAAATTTATATATTTTACATAGATTAAATAAAGACAATTTAGTATACCGAGAATCACTTGTCCAATCGATACATGTGGTTTTATCATGAAATGAACGAAGAACAAATTTTAATGTGAACAAATTAAACTGACGATCTGTACTAGGACAAGTATATATTTCACATCGGCTACCACGACAAATAGCTACAGATCTAAAATAATATGGTTTTTCTTTTGAACCATTCCAAATTCTTTTTTTTTTTGTTATTTACTTAGAATCAGGACTGAATTTGATTGTATGTACATCATGTCCAAAACGATGAATACCAATCAATGTACGACACTTGACATTATATAGATAACCTCGACCAGCTATTTTGAAAGAAAAATATTTATGATTTAGTTTAAAAATTGAAAATCTTACTCTCATTAATTACAAGTAGAAGTGCACCATTAGACGAGAGAGTTGAACAAACAATATTAAATTCACTTTCGAATGATAACGTTTCCGATCGTCCACTACAAAAATCAAAGATTTCAAAATGATTTCAATTAACTTCAATCGTACTTCTTTAGATCTATCACAGTTGCTCGATTACCAACTGGTGTGATGAGTGCATTACTATCGGGTGTAAAGAGAAGATTGCCTTTGTGATACACAGTACCAAGAAGATTAGAGAACTAGAATAATAAGAATAAAATGGAATTCGTTCGATTATATCAGCAAATCTTCTTTACTTTATAATGTAGTTTCATTTTAGTAACAATGAACACACCAATATAACCGGATAATAATCCTCAAAATTTTCTATTCTATCTAATGTAAGAGAACGAACGAGTCCGATTGAAGAATAAATCATCCAATAGAAATACTTTTTCGTCTAGAATCCAGCCTCTTTCTTCATTGGACGACAGATGACAGTCGTAGTCATCTCTCCGAAAAAAGTATCTACTTCAGTAGTGGCACATGAATTATAAGGCAACTCTTTTGTAGAATCATTCGAACAATGGATGTGGGTATGAGTACCAATGAAAAATAGAACCCACACCACCCCCTTCATAGACTAATCTAACGCTTTTACTGATTAGAAGGGCGCAATGAAAAGTCGTTATGATCATTAATAAATATTTCACTTGAACGACGAATTGATGAACAGAATACCAACGCTTAATTCTAGTTCGAATATAAATGCAAATTAAAAGAAAGCCAGTCATGCTGTAATCACACGGATATGAACGTGCCGAAGTGTTTGCGGGGCTGTAATTCTTCTCTTAGTCTATGCCTACCGTCACCCACACCCTGTTTCGTGTTCTTCTAAGTATTCAACTGGGCCACTTGAAGATATAGCAACAAAGATACATTCATTACATGTAGGACATAAATATAAATGTCGCATTGATGCATAAAATTGAGCTAATCTTGATGAACCATCGAATTCTACGAAAGAAACTAAAATACGAGAATCAAGTATTGGCGAAAAACCAAGATTTATTCAAGAACTTGAACCTATTATAGTCAATAACGTACGATCTCTTATTTTAACTGCTCGCGTTAAACATGATCCAACATCTGAATTGAATGGAAAGAATAGTAAAAATACGTGTATGATATTCATTAGTGAATAATTATGAAATATTTGGTTGAAAAATGATCATTGAATTCTAAAAGATAATCATATGCAATTAGATGTTGTTATTGGTAATACAATTAAATTGATAATTCATAAAACTATAGTAAAGAATGCAGGTACTTATGAATTAATAGCTGTGAATGCTCTTGACTCAATTACTTGTATATTCTACGTAAAACATTCCATTTGTAGAAAAACATCAATATTCTATTCTATTGGGTAAGTTTAACATAGAAAGGGTGGCGTTAAGAGCCGAAATCAGCCCCCTCTAGGAATCGAGATCTTCTCTACCAAAATTATCATAAACAATGCCAAAAATTGTTTTACAGCAAAATCAGTTCAATATATTATATGTTTTGTGGACACAGACACCTCGTTATGTTATGTTTTAAATACGCCTATCTAGCTGAGACATCAACCGACTTTTTTGACTTCTACCACTTTTCATTCACTATATCTTGATCAGATCTACAGTTTTGTGTACAAAATCGGGTAAAAACCTTGGCACGGGAGTCACGATAAAGGGAAAATAACAAATTTTTTGATAAATATTTCTGATCTCTGATAAAATCGCTAAGCGAATAGTTTCGATTTTAATCGGAACCATTATGAATCTTATATCAAAAGATAGATCTCGATCAGGTATAGCATGGACGTGGGTGTGGGTTTTCTCTTCAGCCACATCACACATCCTAGTGTATCATACGATAGTCAATAACTATAGATTATAATATCGTTGTATTAGTCTAGAAACTCTCCGTTGATTATAATAAAATGATGTCTTGAGAAAAGTGCAACTAATTATCTTTGAAAATAAAATCTGGTATATCAAAATACGAAGAATAGTAAAGAAATTTTTAAATTTTTATGCGCATATGAAATTATGCGCTGAACAAAAAGAGAAAAATGTGTCCTTATTTATACTGACGGCATCGGTCTAACAGAACATATGAGTATGTCGATATCAATATGAACACTTGTAAGATAACGGTATAGATGAACATGGAATATTCGTGTATTCAATTGAATGATTTACCCGATGAAATTCTTATGATTATTTTTAAAAAAAATGGCTAATATGGATATACTTTATTCTTTAGTAGGTGTCAATAACCGATTAAATAAAATTGTACGTGATTCTGATTTTACAAATCATTTGGCTCTTACTCTGTTTACATCAAATGGTTTCGTTTATTCATTGCCTAATTCAATAGTTGATCGATTTTGTTTATATATTTTACCTGAAATTCATCAAAAAATCAAATGGCTCGATCTTGAATCACTAGCAATGGAGCGCATTCTTCTTGCTGCAGATTATCCTAATTTATATGGAATTAGTTTATATAATATTCAGACAGAAACAGCCATAAGTCGTTTTTAATAAGTTGAGAATAGTTTCGCATTGATTCGTATTTATTTATTAGTATGAAGATATAAAAGTTGTCATCAAAGATATCATTTTCCTTGAAACATAAGTATTTCTATAAAAGAAATACTAAGCTTCCGTATTGTCTACAAAATAAACTTTTGAAAAAGTAAATCTAGAATAAAATAAAGGATAATAATTCATGATTTTACATACCGCACCTCACTCCCGCCAAAAAAAATAGAAGGTCACCCCTGTATAAGGCTATGTTCGGACAAAAGTACAAACGCCTTGTTAGAAGGCCATGAACTAATTAGTTGATATTACAAAAATATTGCATTTTTAATAAATATTAATTGAAAAAAAAGAACCGATTGTCTCGTGTTCTTTGCGAGATTCTTCCTGTCCTATCATAAATAGTACATTTTTTACCGAAAAATGCCTGAAAAAAATGATAATTAAAGTTATTAATTATTTTCAAATTTTTTTAAGTAGTAATTGGCCAAGAATTGACTTGAACAGAAGGCCACCGAAAAAGTCTTGAGACACTCTAAGCCCATGCCCTTTTATTCTTGGAAGAGAGGGGGAGTTTACAACACAACATTTATAAAGCAATATAATAAATTAAGGAAGTCCAAAGAAGTAAATCATCTATATACATTACAACGTTATTAAGAAATGAATATAGCATACATATTTAGATTTAAGTAATCATATGAAATCTAAAAAAGCATCTTTCTTAATGAATTATTAATGTTTTCATTGTTCAGATGAAACTTGTGCAATTGGTAAATTGAAAAATCAGATTTTATCACTTTCTGTCGACATCGATACAAATGAAGCAAAAAGTTTACCAGAAGATGGTAATACAATTTTATTCACACTTATCTTCAGTACATTCACTAATTTACGATATTTAAATTTTGGTCCATCTTTATTATATTATCAACGATTATCATTTGGTACTCGAGCTCTAAATATTATGTCTATTTGCACAATTTCACTGATTGTCTTCATTTACTTGATGGTTGTTTCAGTCAACTTCATGCGATTTTCGCTGATATATCTTTCGTTTTCTCGTCGCCTCTTTTTTTCTAGGAAGAATTACCTACTTCAAAAATGCTTTTCGTTGCACTGTGATTCGAAAACATATGTTTATGATGAATTAATTTTACCACTTTAGCATCGAATGTCAAATTTAGAAAGACTTGATTTGTGTCTTATTGTTGATGAAAGAAAAACATTTTTTGATGGCTATAATTTTAAGATGCATATTATTAATCATGTGTCACGATTAAACGAATTCATATTTAATATTCGCTCATCAAGTCGTTTTTATAATGAAGCTAATTTACGATCAAATGAATACATTCAAAAGACATTCAGCGATTTTACACATAAACAAATTAGGGTGTGGGTGTTGATCTTCTCTGTATCTACACCCCACACCCACGCAATTTCGGAAGAAATATAACACGAAGCAATTGTGCCAAAATGAATTACGCATATTTATCTAGAAAACTACAACTTCCTGGAGATTCAAACAATTTTTCTCCTAGAATACAACACTTTCCTGAGCATATAAAGGACTATTTTCCGCATGCGGAAGTACACTGATTATTAGTAATTTATTATTCAAATAAAGCATTAACTGAAACAGATTGATTTACATCAAATTTAAGCGTTGAAAGAATCAGGAAGATAAGAAAGAATAGTGGTTGCAAACAGCCATTGAATGGCACATTATTACAAATGAAAATATGCTATGTGTTTGTGCATACACTTCAGAAAAAAAATCGAAATGAAATTACAAGTAAAAAGCAAATATGTTCTAAGTAGTAATATAAAAAGAGTTTTTTTGTCTAAATAATATAAACAACAGACTAAGAAACCGTAAACTGTTTGTAAAAATAAATAGTTTGCGCAATTAACATTAGATGAAGTCGAAAAAGTTTTTGATGTAGAACTGCTTATCAGAGCTAACGGAAAGAAATCTGTTTAAATATCTGTCACGCTTTACAAAATGAAGATTAGAATGTTTGGCATTTTTCCTTCCTTACGCATTGTAATACATTATAGCCAACATCTTCGTTCTATTGTAAAATGTATTTCTTCAGAAGACGGAACTTCAGCCTCTAACGTAAGTGGAAGAATGTATACGCATATATTGATATTGTCTAGGTGCTTCAAATCTAATCTAGCTCTTATTTTAATGATTAATAGTTAGAGTAATGCTATTATTTTAGTTTGTCGTTGGACTATCCATAAAATGACATAATTTCTTGGCATAAGTATATGTAAGTTATCTTTGTCATATGGTAATGGTGCTAATAGGATGAACTTCGTATAGCAGATTAGATCTCTTTCCTCTGTTTTAATTATCGAATCGAAATTTCAATATTGAATAGAATTTCATCTATTTCCATGGATTGAAGCAGAATCTAGGTTTCTCAGGATTGTACGGGCGTCTTTTGAAATCTCCATTTAGTATCAATTTCATATAAAAGATTCGTAAGTCAAGATTGAGATCCGCAAGCCACATTATGAGTCCCTTGAGCAAGGCCGAAACTGGTGATGACTGCTTCTATGTTCACCTTTTGATCGTCGATCTTTGCTTTTCGATTCGCTATCACCACACCAAATAATAACGTTACGCATGAAGTGCACGCTGTACAAAGTATTTTTACGAATAATCATTCGCTGATTTTCGATCGCAATATAGGACGATAGAACGACAAGAGTGAGTCACTTTGAATGTTCGGCGTTGCTACTTCTCTCAATATAAGACACCCACTAATAGGGCAACTCACTAGTCGCCCTTTATCTGAACCATCCAAGATGCCACATTCGAATGGAACAATCGTGAAATTGTTTTTTAGGCTCATAAAAAGGTAGTTGCATTGGTATTTTCCTTTTCTCACGTGCCCTTTTTTGCCGGATCAGTGGGCACATATAGAGAATCGGACAAAATTTACTTGTTTTCTTGCTTACCATGAGTATTTTTCTCCCTACCACATCTTTGTTTGTCACATGCGTCGTGTAGCTTCCCTGTTGATTGATAACTGGCGTTTGTCGCATCTATATTTCTATTCGGATGCATGGGTCTACGCTCGACTTATGCTAGTGCTCTTAATCATTATGGAATTGATTTCAATCGGTTTGGGTGTCTTGTTGTCCTATTGGCTCAATGCATTTTTCAACGCTCTTCAACAATTGGACCAATCCACATTTATTCGTTTACTGTTCTACTTTCCGATTATCATTCTGACAATAGGCGCCGTGAGAGTTTATAAATCCTACATGGCACAATTGCTTGAACTTCAATGGAGACGTTGGTTAACAAATCATTTCTTGAGTAATTATCTAGCAGAGCATGCCTATTATGGAGCATTGTTCCAGACAAATCGTGACGATAATCCTGATCAAAAAATATCCGCCGATATCAGATCTTACATTGCGCACACATGTAATTTAACAATTGGCGCACTTCATGCAATCGTTACATTTATTTCTTATGTCTTAATTTTATGGTCTCTATCCGGTGTGGTTACAATTCATGTTACACAATATTTCTCATATAATATACGAGGAAGCTTGATGTGGGTAGCCATTATTTGTGCCGGATTTGGNTTGCGCTATATACGAATACTTTACATTCGTTTTGACCAGTTTTTCATGTTCTATCTGAATCAGCCGTCAAGATCCATCCACTTTAAAATAAACATTGAGGGTGTGGGTGTGGAATCGGTCAAAAATTGAAAATTTAAAGATTTTGTTCGACCGATTTCACACTAGTGGCGGCACCATGGGTGGGCTGTGGTGGGCTAAGTTCACCCTAAAATATGTTGAGCCCACCCAGAATTTTTTTAAGGCTTCTGAAAAAATCGATGATCAAAAGGTGAACATAGAAGCAGTCATCACCAGTTTCGGCCTTNCAATATCATCTCTTACATACAGCGATGGAGTATGACTTCGCTTTCATCTATTACAATACCAGATGAACAAGAACTCGAAAGAAATTTTCTGTTATTCAATAGCATTTTAAGTCGAGTAGAACGCATTTCATATTGAAAGTCAAAATGAAGCGGAAGTGTTTTAACGGAAAAATCTATTGGAAAACCTATTGTACGAAGCGAAAATTTTACTAGAATTCAAGAAAATTATGAATTAGAAAATTATTTTCTAAGAAACTTTCATCAAGTAGCATCTTATCTAGTTTCTTGTACGCAGAGTTGTTCAATAAAAAAAGAAAGTTTGTTTTTGGTGAAAAAGCGGAAGAGGTGGCAACCCCGATCGAAAACTACTCCAAGCCTTATATACACTCATGTGAACTATTTAGCATTGAATAAGAAACAGTTTTGACTAATCCAAAAGTTCGACAAATTTTCCAATGATTTGTTCGGTTTTCAAAACTAAGGTAGTTCGAGCCCATCCTAGTCTGGATTCCTGGCGCAGCCTCTATTCCACACCGAGTCCGAAAGGTTTATTTTAAAGTGGGTGGATTTTGACGGCTGATTCAGATAGAGCATGAAAAACTAGTCAAAACGAATGTAAAGTATTCGTATATAGCGCAAGTCTTTATGGCAAAAGAATGTCATTTTTAAAAGCATAGTGTAGGAAATAAAATAAACATTGGTGTGATTTTTTGTTAAAGATCACAAAAACACGCTTGGCAGCCTAAATTCCTTTGAACTTATACGCCGATTGAGAGATGGACGGAGTCGAAGCGACTATGTTCAAGATTTGAGCCATCGAACAGAGAACTGCTAACCGATTATTCTGCCTTTTTCTGATTTCAGTTGCATTAAAAAGAATAAAATTTCAAACAATTGGAGGAATACATTTTCGAAAAAGTTCCAATATCGAGTTTGAGTTCATAGTACCCTCGTAGTCAAGAATTTTTGATAGGGGATGTCCCTATAGCAGAGATAAAATCTCCCACAGTGTGGCAAATGTTCAGCGACGTATTCTCCGCCATGCGTTGATTATCCTAGCAGATGCCGAAGCACCACAATTGAATGGGGCCTAGTCGCAACCAACATGTTCGTATCTCTTTCTCGAGATGAATGTAGACTCTTGATAGACTTTTCCAAAGAATGGCTGTTTTATATAAAAGTTGAGAATTGTTTCAGGTACTCTGATAACGGATCGTATTGGTCGAAATCTGATAACTTTAAACTATGAACAAGAACGTCATGAAGCCAATTTTCGATATGGACTCGCTCGACTTCGAGATCATGTGGAATCTGTGGCGATGTATAGAGGTGAATTTCATGAATACGCATCCTTAACGACTATGTTCTCTGCACTAATGTCAAACTTTCGCGAGATAATGCGTTGTTCACTTCATCTGAATTGGTTCTTGGAGTTGTTTACTTACATATCAGATATCTTTCCATATCTAGTCGCTTCGACTCATTACTTCTCGAAACAGATCACTCTCGGAGATTTGACACAAATCGGATCGTCTTTTGTACGTGTGAAATCATCACTCTCATTTGTTGTCACATCTTACACCACAATTGCACAGTGGCGAGCAGAAACAAAACGACTCATCAATTTAGACAATACTTTAAAGGATTGGCATGCAGCAAAGCAAAATTCCAAAATCAAAATCGTCCGTACATTCAAGGAGCGGAACATTCGAATAGAAGGATTGACCTCGCAGTTGCCATGGAAAATTGCTGCTGACTATCCGCAAATTCTCTTTGAAAATTTCAATTACGTTTTCGAACCATATCAGTCTGTGCTTATCACAGGTAAGAAGACAACAACCATAATCACGTCTGATTCGATTGAATCTTTTTTCTGGAATGAAACCATTCATAAGAGTACAGAAAATAGTCTTGATAGCTTATTTCTTTTCTATATATTTAAGGTCAATCTGGATGTGGAAAATCCACTTTACTTCGAATTCTTGCTGGTATTTGGCCGTACGGTCGTGGAACAATCACTATGCCTGCTCAAGATGCAATTGAATTTGTTCCTCAAAAGATCTATTGTCCACTTGGGCCTCTTCGTCATTGTTTGACTTATCCAACGACGACGCTATGTTCATCGACGGACAATGCAAATATCGAGCGGCTTTTGAGTCTTTGTCAACTCGAATCATTAGCAAATCGTTTAGATGATATTGACGATTGGTCTCTCGTTTTGTCGTCTGGAGAACAGCAGAAAATGATTTTCGTTCGTGTTCTTCTTCATCAACCGAAATGGATCTTTTTAGATGAAGTGACATCATCATTAGATGAACCATCTGAAACACATTTATATTCCACTCTATTTCGAGAACTCGGTTCCTATTCGACAATCATCAGCGTAGGGCATCGAAAGAATTTGCGGCAATTTCATCGAATTCAATTGCAATGTGTCGATGGACAAATCACACGAGTTGATACATAATAGAATATTTCATCATTTGACAGAAATCAATTTTTGTATTTTCTCGAAGCGTCTTGTGAGAATATCGACTAAATTTCACTTCAACGTGATTATTTTTCTGTTCTTTTTTTCACAGCGCATACTCAATAAGAGACTCAATAAATGAAGGAGAAAATGTCACGCTAGGAGATCCATGACAGCGAGATTTTTGATATTCAGTAGGCTTCATCCAGAAGAAACATTGACACGTTAATAAATCCTAGTTGACATGCTACCAGCGTCGAGGAAAATCGTATTTTTCGTTTTCGTTCAGATCCTCAACATTGAGAATCGTCGTATAATATTTTTTCAATAGGGTTGTATCATCATCGGAAATGACAGATCGAGCGTCAAACAACTGCAATGAAGATGCATGTTGTGCAGTGACCATCAACTATTGAGCATCCAATTGGCATGGACTGCTGTGCCAATTTACGTACTTCATCCCACTCACCAACAGACGGTAACAGTCGAATTCAGATTGAGCATTAGTCATATTTTACTATTTTCTTTCCTCTCCAATGACAAGTGTAAACTCAACCTTACAAAACGGGTTGATCGTATCAGTGTCATTAATGAAACATCATTTTTTAGAAAAATTAAAAAAGATGAGGCCACTTTGAAACGTTTTGAAAAATATGAATGACTGCACTTCATAGAAAGCCTCCGAGTGAGGAAGAAGGAAAGAACGTAGTTTCATGGACGCTTCCACAATTAGGACTTCCTTCTGTCTCAAGTGGTGACTCATCAGTTGAGTTGAATTCTTTTCCATAGAAGCGAATATGAAGTTTTATTAAAAAATCTTAATATCAGTTTCGTTAACAACTTTTCTGTGAATTATTTTAAGTTCCATCAACATGTGGTGTTGAAATAAGCTAGAATGTCTGAATAGTTTGACAGTGTTTATCTGTGTCGAGATCTTCGAAATTCCGGCAATTCTTAACCTGAAATTGCTGATATTGCACAATATTAATGAATACACATTATCTTTTTCATGGCGTTTGTTAGTATTCGACATTATATTCTTTTATTACTTTTTATGCTGTAGTTTTGAAACTTGTTTGGGTTTTTAAACATTTTCATTCAAATTGTTGTTAATTGCGTATACATCTCCAGTTTTTTGTTCGTTCACATTCAGTATTTTCGTGAACTTTCGACTTCTTATAATACAAACTATGTAGAAAACTACAGAAGCCAAATGTCTTTTAGCAACAGTTAAACGCGCCGTGGTACATAGGTACAAGACTCCCCTCATCCTGTTATTAAGTCCCAGAAATGCACACTTCCCAGGATCCCTAATCAAAACTTTACATATACACTATACATGCAGTTTAAAAATTCCAGCTAGATTGGCTTGTATGAGTTATACTAACCAATGGTGCAACTACGCCACTCAGTTTCGTCCCAACGAAAAGGAAGAGAACAAATTTCCCTATCTATGAGCAAAAAAAATGAATATGAAGTTCTCTCCATTCGGGAAAATCCCTCGTTTAGCGATCTATATGTAAATACGCCCGAAGCGTAGCTGTAGGGGCATACTACTTACATACTTGCTCGTATTCATCTACGACCCTCTTATCAAGCGTCTAACAGCAACAAACGACAATGGCGAAGTTCAGACAAATAGTTTTTTGATTGTCCTCTTGGTGTTGTTGGGAGCAATTTACATGCCACTAGTTGAAGCTGGTAAGCCTAGTGGTGCTAATGTGGTGGTGATGGCGACTGTGATTCTGGTAGGTGTCAGACTTTCTGTTGCGATGGTCGTGGTACGGATACTGGTGGTAGTCATCGTTGTTGTTGTTAAGTCAGGTATGTTGTATCACTATAGTCTTTCGATGATAACTCACTGAAAGAATGCCACTGACATTTTAATCCTATCATTTGTTTATTCTCCTTTAATTTTATTATTTTAAATGCTTTTTCATACTGAACTGATTCATTTTGTGTGCGTTTTAGCAAGGACGATACAAACACATACTAACACAGAAAATCGAACATGACTATCAAGTATTATTATCATCAAACATTATCAACTATTTAGCTTGCTCCTCTCCTATTCATATCACAATTAGTTAGCTTCCTCATCTTTATTTCTGTATTTTTCACAATATTCTATTCTAATAAAATATGCGCTTCGAAAACATACTCTGATTTTTGACTGTTTGCGAACAGCACCTAATATCTACAATACTCATAAGTAGCTCTTCGTTGACACTCACTGGGCTTTTTTCTCAAGGAAAATATTAGGTATGTGCTGGTAGTTTCAACGCTTCAACAAAACATTGCGATCATATTCAACTACCTTTTGATTTTATGATAAATCTTCTTCAATATTGAAACAAAATGTTTTGATCCATCGAAAAACTAAATCTGATTTTTCAGTACATTTTACATCTATCTCTATTAAACTTAAGTCGAAGTACGAGAAAACAGTGATACTCACATCAAGATTGATTATACACAAAAAAACAAAATTTGTGTGTGTGTGTGTGTGGGTGTAGATACAGAGAAGATCAACACCCACACCCAGAAGAGGTGGCAACCCTGGTGCTAAATGATTCCATAATACATCACCGTGACGTCGATTATACATTGTCAGATCTAAACTAAATTAATTTGTTTAAATAGAAGAAAAGATTTCAAAAGAAAAATTTACTTAATAATATTATGCTAATTCCATTGATTCATTACAATCTTGTGCTATTTGTAATACTTCAGTTAATCAAGATAAAATTTCGAGCACGAACATAATCATATGAACATAGACGAAACTTGAGGGTGTGGGGGGACCATATAATTAACCGGATGTCAACANTGTACCATATGATCAATAATGTCCTTCAAATTGTTTCCATCAATAAATTTGTTTCTACCAACGATTTCAAAAGTCAAACTGAGTTCTTCTAAATTTAACATTCGATCTAGAAGCGGCACAATTAATTCATCATATGCATTTCGAAACAGATCACAGTATAGCACAAAGCATCTTAAATTAAGGAGTTTTCCCTAAAAAAACAATATCATTGGCTCGTTTAAATAAGGTATTGAATGAAATAACTAACTTTATTTTCGATTAACTGCGAACGAGTAATTTTATTAATATTAACATGAAGTGTACGAAGTTGATTGAAACGTCCATCAACTAAATAAAGACAATCAATGAAATTCTCCAAACTGACATGCAATTCTAATAGATTTGCCGAGAAAATAGTTGGAGGAGAATTATGAAATGATAACATTTGATACCAAATGGAAGATGAAACAAAATTTAAACGCTGCAAATTGATGAACATATTAAAGATATTTGTAAATATAATTCTGTTTATACTTTCTGTTTTATTTGGCTTGTCATTTGGACTCATATTGACAACAAGTGATAAGATTTGACTTTTAAATGTATGCAATAAAAGTATGTGATCTAAATATGAATAAAATACAAAAATATCAAGAAAAAAATAGCTATATCTAGCATCGATTCTTATCAGATATTCAAATTGATTATCTCTTTGCATTCTAATATCATTATATAAATATCTTATTTCTGGTATAAATATTGGTTTTATGACTAAATTAGAGTATACTACGATGCATAGTGTTGTCGATTTTAATGTATTTATTATTTGTTCTAGAATTAGCGATAATCAAAATAAAATATCTTACCGGAAAAGAGATGTTCTGTCATTTCTTGTTCAAGATTATATAAACCAAGTTCATATAAATTAGGATAATTGGTGGAAAGAAGAATACGTGCCATTGATGGCGATTCAACATTAAGCCATTCGATATGATGATGAATTTTAGGTAAAATTTGTGAACAAAATCTATGAAGTGTTGGAAAAGGTAATTGATAAATAGAATCATTCTGTCAAAGTGTCAATAAATCTAAATGACTCGTAAAATTTGGATCATGCAAAATTTTATTGAATCGTTTATTAATGCCAAATAGAGAATACAGTAGCGAGACATTGTTCAGTTTTTTGAAAATAATCAAAAGAATTTCATCGGGTAAATCGTTCAATTGAAGACATAGACATTCCATGTTTTTCTTCACTTGTATATTCCTCTGTAGCTTGCAGTTCTCTCTATTTGGCCGATCTCATCAGAGAAAATAATGATATAATTTTTACATAGTCTAAATCACGAACGAAAAAAACGGACGAACAAATGTTAATAGTTCTCTCTTATTCTCGTTCAACATATCTGATATAATAATCTTTTAAAATTATTGATTGCTTTTACTATCGTGATAAAAACAGATTTATATTTCAACAGATTTAATAAAGAGCTTCGTTGAAATTGTTCATGTTAATAAGCATTTATCTAGACGTAATCATTTTCATATTGTTTTTTTCATGTTAGATAACATTGACAAGAGCTCAATTGTGAAGGAGCTTATTTCTCTGCGATTAAATTATCGATGTACTTGAATCACAATATTAAAGAAACTGCTAATATTTGACACGACTGTCTTGATTTCTGCTATTTTGATCATTTGCTTGTTGTTCTACATCAATATTTTTCTTACCAACTGTTTCGTTTTCCTGTAATAATTGTCATACTAATATTGAGTTTTTGATACAACTGTCATTATACGATCAAATCTACAGTTTTTTTGGTACAATATCATCGTTTAATTCTTAAAAAGTTAATATATATCATAGAGTGATATCCAATACAAATTCGAAACTTAGTTTTGAAACAAATAGAACTGAGTTCCTGTACATGTTTCAACTAATTTGGTTTAGAATATTGAAAGATTTATTAATTGAGTTTATTTAATATTTTTGTAGAAATTATGATACTTGTCTAGGAGATTGTTTTACACGTATATTTTACAGTTAATCCATCTTTCAAACTAAATTATGTTCATTTCAGTCAAAGGTTGATTATCAAGTTTGTTTGATTGGTTTTTACAAATACATTTGAAATATATAGTGATCATAATAATTAGATGAGGAATACTAATATTGTAAAATTAAGCAAAAAGATTTTCTTAGAACAATACAATATATCTAAGAAGTTGAGGCATTACTAAAATACGCTCCTACTACCATCTCATTCAAAGATATTATCAATCAATCAATAGATCTTTAAATTTTGCATTCATGAAATCCCATGCCAAGTTATTTTCTTTAAAACATATTTGGTAAAAGAGCGAAATATCGTATCTATGAGTTCACTCGAAGCCACGATAGCTCACATCAACCCTGACTTAGAATAGAATTATGAAAATGATGTTTTCTTCTTTTATCATAGATGTCTAATAGAAAATGGTTTGATGTGAGGTCTCATCAACGAAATATTTCAAATTTTATTCATTGATAACATCTTCGAGTTACACGGCAATTGAAGTGGATTGCAGAAAACTTTATTAATGTACAAGAAATCGGGAATGTCAAAGATTCAATGAAAGATAAAAAAATTTAGATATATGAATCCTTAGATGCAATTCATTTGTTACATTTATATGTCAATTAGAGTTTCTGAACTATGTGTGTTCATTGATATTGCTTGCCATAACATTTTTCTCTCCAATAATACATTTGTTATTACAACGCTTATCATTTCAGATATTATTTATAAACATATTAAAATTAGATGTAGACATTACTCTTATCTTTATTTTGAGTGTCCAATGTTATGAGGGTGCGTATCTAATAATCAATAATTATTTATCATCGTAGTCTTCGTTTGATTTTGCTTTGAAGAGGAAGACATTGTAGGAGAAAGTCTCTACAGGAAAACGTAGTATATATAAGAAGCGAAAATTCGTCTCGTATGCTTCTTCTTTAATCTAACACGTTGTTTATCACACTCATCCTGAGTATGCATATAGAACGTGTCATCTGGCTACGGAGGAGGACTAAAACATCCACACAAAGTGTCTCACAAGCATTCTTCTCAATGCTAATCTAAAAATCGAAGGAGAAATTCTCGTCAACAAATCTAGGTAGATAGAAATGAGAAAGTTCCATGTAACTTCTAACGAAATAATTCGAAAGATTTTATCTGTACGTAATACCTGAATTGTTCATGAGAACATCCTTTTTCGTATATTCTACGTTTTATATGGCATTGCTAGGCTTTCTATTATCTTTGGTGCGTGGAATCATCTTTTTTTCGCATTAAATAAAACATTGTTTCTGTTAAAAATAAAATTGTGCTTACATTTTTTTTTGCTTAAAATCAATCTATTAAAATTAAAAAAACAAACATACTATGATAGAACTTGTGAAAACTAATGATAAATAGTTTTGTAAAAAATTCTCTTTGCTAAAGTTTTTAGAAACTTACTGTTTTTTATGTATTTATATATAAATCCATAACCTAATGATACTTGCATATTAAATGACCAAGCGCCATGTCTTTCAAGCTCTTTTTTGTTCTTCGAGAACTGTAAACACGATTGACCCATGAGTAAATCTATCCTTATTAAAAAAGATAATTTTCAAGTAGAATTCTATTTAATATTGAGGAAAATATTCAAACAAATGAGTGACTAATAAATCTTTAATGATTATGAAATACTACACGTTTTTCTTGCTTCTAATGCCTTCATTATATTCAGGAAACAAAACTAATCTTGTATATTTCGTTCTAAAACATGTATAAAATTAGCGACTGTTAGTAATCCAACAACAACAATTGTTATTTAAATTATCTGAACTATCCCAGATCGAACATTCCGGCCACCGGATTCCGTAGGATACTCCAGGGAATATGCGGGAAAGTCACCATATCCTGCAGGAAATCGCTGGAACATGGAAGCAGTATTCCGATCAAAAATACGGCCGAACTTTTCCGGCGAATTCCTGCCAAGTTCCGGTGCTTTCCGACAGGAATTGGTCGGAAATCACCGGAAAAATTTCCATCCGGAATACTGCTTCCACAAAATCAACGGAACTACTCGGAACCGGCCGTTTCCAGGCCGGACTGTTCGACCTGGGATATAGATGTATCTGTATATACACTTGTGTCGCCTATTCAACACAACGGGCGTCTTTTTTCCACCACTAAACATTATCTTTTTTTTCTCATTCAGCCGTCTTATAAATAAAGAAGAGTCATCACTATGCATGATCTTTTATAGTCGTCCGATATTTTCTTTTAAGTCATAATTAGTGTTCACTATACAGAACTTCAGTTTAACAAAAGTTGCTGTGTCAAACCATGAAATGCCCAGGGCAAGGAGGTGTGCATTATAGGAATTTTTACTGTAGTTACATTGATTATACTCATAGATGTATCGTCTTGTTGCGACAGAAAAGAGCAACAAGAAGCGAGTTGATGTCCATAACAATACATGAAGCGAATGATGGTGAAAAACTTATCAATATTAAGTATTTTTCTTTTAACTTCAATTTTTCAGAAAAAAAGAGGGTGAAAAGAGGAGGTTGTGGAAGAAAAGAGGAAAAAGAGGAGGAGTGGTATGTCACATACCACATTGTACTATCGTATGGCATCATCTATTGAGTTTGTTTGTCAATCGTTTATTACTTGATAGACTTTTTTTCTTCTAGTTTATTTTCATTTTTCACGATGGTTACATCTGTCTTTACAATCAAAATGCTTTTTTATTTTATTTTTTACAATAACAAAAAAAAATAGATACATATCAATACGTTTTATTTGTGAAAATCTTTCAATTCACTGTGAGAAACATCTTGATCAAGTTCGGCTATTTTCAACACTATGTTCTTTAACGTGAAAATGTATTTATATTTGGCAGGATAAATATGATTAAGACATTCTGTAATCATATCACGTTGTTCATCTACCGATCGGATAGGCTGATGCCCATACTGAGTCGATCACTCGCCATTTTACGTAAATCAATTAATTTCAATTCCAAGTTGGTCGTTTGTTTTAATTTAGCTTCAATCGGTTCAATGAAAGTTCGTACACGTGGATGGTTTTGCACATTTAAATCTTCTTTCGGGTCAACACATTTCCTGTCAATTTGCAATAATTCCATAACTTTTTGTTCACGAAAAGACCACTCATCTAAAATAAACGTAGAATTCCTTAATTGTTCTTTTAAACTTTCTTATTTGATTTTTATAAATTACTTGTAAATTTGGACCACGTGCCCATTGTTGGGTACACTTGTTTGATAATCTTGTCGAGGAAATAGAATCGAAATAATCTTGCTATATCAAATGCTTTAATATTTGTATCTTGCATTTGTTGATTTAGTTCCAGGGTTTCAATACGTAATTCTTGAGATTGAGTTTTTGATTCGTATTGTGTTAATCGATCTCTTAAATTTTGTATTTGAACCAGAATCACCGAGAAAATTTCATTAAGATTTTGTTTATCACTACCCAGGTGAACTAATCCGACATCGGATTCCATCGGATCTCTTAGGATCCAACATACCGACAAAAACCCGACGGATTCCTGGTTGAGGAATCGCTGTCGGATCCGACGGACAAAATCAATTTTCTTAATCAGGAGTGAATAAGCATCTGATGCCATCAAAACACAAGGGTTGTATGCTAGCGTCGGTTTCCGTTGAATTCCGACACAGGTTTTTCTCGGATTCCAGCGGCAGGGATCCGACTGTAAATCCGTTTCCAGGAATCCAACGGAATTTCATCGGTTTTANTCCGACATAGGTTTTTCTCGGATTCCAGCGGCAGGGATCCGACTGTAAATCCGTTTCCAGGAATCCAACGGAATTTCATCGGTTTTATTAACATTTTAATGATATCGGATAGGATTCCCTCTGGGATCTTATCGGATCCTACTATCGGAATGATTCTTCTGAGTAACAGTAATATTCAATTGTACCAATAATTTAGATAACCATTGATGCAAATCTGTATCATTATGTTCAACAATTTTTTCCAGCTTTGGCATACATACAGTAAAAGCACCCTGCTTCTTTTCTTCTTCATTGAGATCAACTCGTACTAAGTGATGATCCATTAAGACCTTGTAAACAACATTAAATAGTTGTGCGCATTCGTCCATGCTAAAATCTGAAAACAACTAATTAGAAAAAAATGCATTTATGAAAAATCAAATATTGTGCTCGATGGAAGGAATAGATATAGACGGTTTTTTCGAAACCATTTCCATGAAGTTCTCCCTTCTACCTCTACGAAAGCATCCAGGATTCTCATCACTATCTCCACTGAAAACATACGAGAAAATCCATTGATTATGATCAATATTTAACCGATTAATTTTTTAGTCTCTTTTTCTTTTTCTAATTTTGTAATTGCTTGTTTGTGGTATGACGACTACTGACATCTAGTGCTTTTTATATTGTTCATCAAATGTTTGTTTGAGAGCATGCATTTATCGAGTATCAGGTACTACTACAGAAGAGTGACACCCTCTACACTGAATTAGTGTAATTCACAGGGCACATAAAAGAATATGCGTGCGGCGGTGTCATTTTTCTGCAGTGGTATCGAAAAGCTTCTATATAATGAATAAACTTTATGCAACCATTGAATACTTTTTCGAAAAATTTTAATCAAATCTTAATTCGACAATAGTTTATTTTGAAGTCGTGTGTAGAGCTCATCGGGTCCAAGAATTTTCAGACCCGAACTTGGACCCGGTACATCAAAAACGTTTGGACCCATACTAGTGGTGACACTGGAACTTTGAAACTACTCTGATAGAATTATTCAAATTGAAGTAAACCCATTCCATATTAGAAGACATCCCCTCCCCAACCTGTATCACGCAAAACCGTCAGGAGTTTCAAAAATTGTGTTCTTATAGGAAACAGATTACTTTCTGAGGGGGTGGGGTCTTCTATTATGGGAGGAGGTTTAGCGCACCTCAATTTTAATCTTTAAATTTAAAGCTAAAACAAGCATATCTTAAAGTTTAACTTTCTAAAAAGTCAAAATTTAACGTATATTTTTCAGAAAAAAAAAAATTCGGAAAATCTTTCTTTTGTTAAATTCTTTTTAATGAAAAGCAAATAGTTCTGAACAAAAAACTCCCTTTCATGAAAAAATCTATTTTAACTTTAACTCTTTGGACTGCAAATTTTAATCATGCTTCTTTTAACTTGAAAGTAAAGTTAAGCTGAGATTCTTAACAAATACCTAGTTTATTAATCAAAAATAGATCTAGAACAAAACGTACTCTTAAACTAGTAATCAATTTTTCTAATTGAATCTGGTGGTCGCTCCGAAGATACGGCATACTTCTGTCCTTTTTTGTCATGCACGTAGTACATCTTACACGCTCTTTCAACTATCCGATAAAGAGTTTTTAACAATTATTTTATAATGAACTCTGACTCCTAGCGACTCGCTAGTAGTGTGCAGCGTCGGATGGAATAAGGAATGAATGTAATAAAGTGTTTATATTGTTTCTTAACTTAGACAACTTCAACATCAACAACATCAGATTCGTTTTCACTCGATTATATCCATAAAAATTTTCTTGTGATCTGACCCAATAGTTAAAAAAATTTTAATCTGGACCCGGTGAAAAGAAATTTTTGGATTCGCAGTCGCACCCGATCGGCTCTAACTCGAAACAATCGATCGTTTGACATTTTACTTTTTTCACCAGTTAATAATCAGCAAGCAGTCTGTTTATGTATATATTTTATATCATCATTGCTTTAAAATAAGAATGTTTTATATGTGGATGCAACATATTAAAAGCTTTTATTTCCAGAAAATTCTTCTTTTGTTGTATTTATTAAATTTCGAATATCATCTTGTTCATCTTCATCATCATTTGAGGAAAGTCATCATTAATGCTAAGATCAGTTGCTGTTATATTATCGTCATCATTATCACCATCATCAACAAATAATCAGCAGTCATTGACCACATCAGATAATGTACTTCAACAAAGTGCATCCCCAAATTCGATACCTATTATAGTGCCATCAGATACAATACAATCGAATTCAACTTCAGTCACAGCATCTTCTATATCCAAATCAACAGAAGATGAAGCTTGCGTTGAAAACATTATCCAACAACCATCATCATTAAAAACTAAAAGACAAGTGAAAAGATAAGTTCAAACAATAGAATCTTCACATAACACAAGAGAATCAGCAAAAAGAACAAGAAGAAGATAATTTTTATATGCCGAACGTTTCTTGTTTGTACTTATTCGATTACAGGGTTATTTTGTGTTCTCTTATACAGTAAGGTTTTATATTAAATTGATGTGTTTAACTTAATAATTCACTTATTTTTTCTTTTATAGTTAATAGGTTCTATCAAGTACTGAATTTTTATATTTTTATGCCAGTTTGATTTTGATTTTTTGTTACATTTTACAGTTGGTTTTTAAATAAATAAATAATATAATTATTGGTCATAAAAAAAGCCTTTTAAAATAAATATTTCTTGATTGATTCATACAGTCTCCGCAAAGATTCTTTTTGTTAAATTTTTTTCTCTACTTTCAATAGAGAAAGAATTGAGAAAATGAAAACTATCATATTTTTATAATTCTAAGAATTTCATATCCGAGTGGATTCTAGTGGATTCATGGATTCTGCTGTTTCCCCCTTAAATAGACGTGACTCGCTTCTATCAATTTTGCCTTCATTTTTTTTCATGTACTCATTCTTCACAGTCAGATGTTCAATAATAGTGAACAGCATCTTAACACATTATTGTGGTTGAATGATAGAAAAGACTTCACGTGAACACATACAAAGTATTACAAACAGTAGCAAAGCACACCTCTCTCTTTCTGCCCATCTCCTCACAATTTTCTAGATACGGTTGTCAATATCATTGTTTATTCAGGAGAAAGAAAGAAGAAAAAAGCAAAGCAGATGAACTGGGCAAATGCATGCAATAGACTTATTACCTCATTACTTAGATCAAATATAGACCACATGATGCAAAGTTTCTTCAATACGCTTACAGCTGGTGTGGATGAGTTTTGGTGTTTTCCTTTCATAATTGTGGCACCCACACCCTCAAGAAGTGATTATAGTTCATATTTATTTACATCAAAAAGACTTTTCCCCCACGTGCGCAATAGCATCTGTGATGTTTTGCATCGATCACCATGAATGTATCTTATTCAAATGAGAATATAGATCATATCGCTCTGTATGATTTACAAAGTTGATAATTGATGATGCCTTGTAAATTGAAAAGCATAACAGTCACTCAAATTCGTCATGTTCTTTTGTTTTCTCACTGATGTACCTTATCTATGAGACAGAAAACTTGTATATTGCTTTTCTTTCGTTTTGCTGTATCATCCTGACTAGCGTGAGTAAGTGACTGACTGACTACTGTTGTTTACCATCCTGAATAATGACCGAACAAGCATCTATATATAACGATAACTTTACTGTTTTTTTAATATACCTTCTTTTAAGATTGCGAATAAGCTATAAAAAGTTTGAAAAATAAAACAAATGATAGTATTGATACTATTGATCCTATTTGTAAGTCAGTGCCTAAGTCAAAATGGTTTTCCAAAACAATTTCAAGCAATATTGAACATAAGCGGAATAGGTTCTTGGGATTCACCATTTCCAGGTGTTAAACAATTATTGTATGATCAAAAATGTTTAAGAGTTCGTTTCGATATTCAAGGATCGCGAGCAAAACAAAATGAAACTTGGATGCTTCAATATAAACCCAAAGGCGCTGAAGCAGATTCAGTAAATAGAAAATGATTCATTATGAAAAAATGATTAATCATGAAACATTTTTTAGCCAGCTTCGCAGAATTATACAATGTTTAATCTCAATCCTGACTTTCCATACTTTACAAAAGTACAGAAGATGATTTACCTTATTTTTCTCTTCCAATAATTGTTTTTCTATTCAGAACGATTGTTGGTATCGAACAAATTCAATGATTGACATAGGCCCATTTCCAATCAGTTGGTTGCATGGAGTAGAAAATTCTATTCAGATTTACCCGTGGTATCCGTTAGCACCAAATCTTATTAATAAAGGCGAAGAATGGATACCAGAGCTTCAACTAAATGCAACAGTACGTTTTCCTATTTCGATGAAATCAAAATTTGAATGAAAGTAATGCACTTCAATTATGGATGTCGCATTTCGAGGGAAACATTAGAATTCTACTTATTCCTTATACGGTTTAAATCAATATTTTGAAATACTTGCGAGTAAAGAACAGACAATAAAAAGATTTTCATTGTTGTAGAGATATGATTCACCGGAAATATGCGATTTAATACACTCTCGTATTGGCAAAGTTCCATGTTTCAGTTATTTTGAAACAAAATATAGGCCAGTTAAAACGATTCAAGCACGGCCTGTTCCTCCCGAATCCTTTGATAATGACGAGTAAGTGAATATTACACGCTTTGAATGAGAAAAAAAGCTACAGATTTATTCATAGATACATAACTATAGTTTATCTATCATTTACAAATGGTATTCCATCACAAGCTGAACATTTGTTCAATCTACCTGGTCAATGGCCTGGTTATTGTGGGAATGCAAACGCAGGTAAACTATATAGTTCGCAGCTACTTATTTACTGTCACTTGTGTTGTTATAATTTGATTGTTCTTTAGCTTTTACTGTGAACCCTTTCAATAATTTTGTGGTAACTCCAAATGATCAAGATCATTTTACATTAAAATTGCAAACACCACCAGTTCAATCGCTTGGTGGCCAAGTCAAAGTTGAGTTTAAAGTACAACCATCAGGAATTTACAATGGTACACGATGTGGTAAATTCAATACAATTGTTTTCGATAAAAACAATTGGCAAATACCACAACAGGTCAACGTGTCTTTTGTTGATTACGGTTGTTGCATATATAACATTATTGCAAACGATGGTGGATATGATTGGCAATATGCTGGGTCATCAATTTTTGTTTTCGCATGTGATGAACGAGCTGGAGATGATTGCAAAGGCAAACGATGTGTGCTCTAGAATCGTTCAAAAAACAAGAAGAATCATACTCCACATACACATAGCTACTTAATAAAAATCACATTCCTACTACAGGGTGCCCCAAAGTGTGGGTGTGGGTCTTCTCTTTAGCCACACCCACACTATATTTGAGCATTTATCAATATGAATGAAAACGACTTTGAAATCTTTAATTTTCTCGTGGCAAATCAATAGGTAACGATAAAATCTAGTTCTTATTGATTGGTTCACTCATTTGCAAAAATATACAACTGTAGTAGTTTATACATTCAGTTTTTTTTACTTCTTTTTTTTTGTGCTTATCTAACACTTTCACCTCTCCTGGAATTTTTTAAAAGCAAATATCGCATACATAGAATGATACAATGAAACGTGAACAATCAATATAGTTATAGCAATTTTGGCGTATCGATATGCATGTTAAATTCTTCAACATTTGGCAAGATGATAGGTAAATTTTTTAAAATCTGCATACTCGATCAGTAATCACAGTACAGTTTTCTTTTATATGCTTCATGATAGAAGTATTGTTGAGACGAATATCAGTCATACCCTTATTAAGAGAATCTTCACCGATAAATACCATATAACTGTTCATGACACAATAATGATTAAGCTGATTATAACAAAAAAATAATGAATAAAACAAAAATAAAATCTTTTTTCTTCTTTCTGACGGATGTGGGAAGTAAGCCTTATCGCAAGGACGGCGTGTGGCTATATTTTGTCGTGAGACCCATGCTTGTAACCTGTTTATTGAAAATGCGTTAAGATTGTAAAATTACTTTTTCAGCAAGCCTTATCACAAAAGAATGTTATATCCATAAAATATCTTTCAATCGGTAAAAATAAATTGTAGACCAGCTGGTCTAACTAATTGAACTGATCTTCTTCGGACGTGGGTGCGGGTCCTACTCCTCACATTTGATATAAGATTCTGTTTTGTTCAAGTTAAAGTACCGTGTTTTCTGTTAATTTGAAAATAATACAATGATTCATAAAAGTTTGTCTATGCTTTAACTTTGGGTGTGGGTGTGAATGTAGGGCGTGATTTTGGAGAAGAAACGCACTCACATCCACACTACCACACCCACACCCACAACTACCTAGGTTTACCATTCAACTATCGCAACGCTGGCATCGAAAAACTAATGACGAATTCGGATTCCCGGGCATCGATAACCTATTCCAAGCTTCGATCAGAATTCAGATCGGAGTTGAAATGCAAAGCTTAATTTTACAGCCCTCGATTTTTTAATGGGCCCAATATCGGACCGATGGGAGCTCGAATCGAAAAAATGATAACGGATTCGGAATTCTCGACTTCAATAGGCTGTTTGAGATTTATATTACTTCAATCACGTTCCGAAAATATAGTATCTTGCTTCAAGCCAGAATCATCTTTGGAAAAAGGTTCCGCTTTAAAAAAATGGTGCAGGACGGAACCTTTTCAAACATCTGGAACTATTGAGGATCTGAGATGGTTCTTTAAACTAGCTAGAACCCTCGATGGTTTATTGATAAACGAGTAAAACCTTAAAAGGTTCAGTATCTTGGCTAGAACCATAAATGGTCCCATATGGCACCTTTTTTTTCCGCGTAAGAAGCACGAAAATAAAAATGATGTGATTTCATTGGTTCTTCATAATAGATGTAGCAGATTGATCATCCCATAAATTTCAATTCATTACAATGGATCACAAGTATGTAGTTTTACTTAAAGTTTCTTTATCACATATTGTAGTGATATAAAAGCTACATATTTCATGAGTACTGAGCTCTGTGAATTATAATCCGGTGAAAGCTACACTGTTTCAAGGCTATTGAAAATCTATTTAGGCGACATATTTCTATCTTGTTAATTAGGATGAAGTGTCTTTTTTATGAGTTACAAAAGAACGAACTCAGCGCAGAAATTTTACCTGTTGTCATTGTTATGGTTGTTGTAGTTGTCGTTGCTGTAGTCGAAGCTGTACTTGCTGTCGTGGCCGCTGTCGTAGTCGTCGTCGTCGTCGTCGTTACAGTTGTCGTGCTCAACAATGCTTCAATGACATAGACATATTCAAAATTTAGACTTTTATGTCACTCAAATTTCACTTAGTTGATTTACTATGAGTGATATTTGAATACTATTAGCACCGGTACTTGACCATGCAAAACAGAAGTAAGGTTGATTTAGTTAGAATTATTTAATATTAAAAGAAACTGTTCATCTCGTAAGTCGAAGAAGTGAATTTGATTGATGACAAATGATGTGTTTCCACCAAGGGGGAAAAGCGCGACTTGGTCTACTTCAAAAAAAATCTGAAGTACGATGCAAGTACATGGAAGTACAACTGTCTGAGAAAAATGGTGTCATACGAAACCATTTAAGGTTATATTCAAAAAAAATAAAGCTCCATTAGGTTCCGCATCTCTGTCTAAAACCATTTTAAGTTCTAGACTTTTTCGCTTAAACTTTAAATGGTTCTGAAAATAGTACCAAAAAAACGTTCCCTATGACACCTTTTTTAAGAGAGAAGGGAAGTACGAGTGAAATACAGGGGACTATGAAAGTCGCGCTTTCCCCTGGAAATCTTGACATTAGTTCACATATTGCTAAAAACTTCATGCTTAGGTAAAATTACCATAGGCTATAAAAACACTAGATAACAAAGAACACTTTGGAAGTCATTTTAAAATAGATGTATACTCAAGGGGGAAGAATAGTACTTCTATATTTCTGAAGTACAGAAGTGCGGAGAAGTATGGATAAGTGCCAAGGAAAACCAAGTAAGAATTAGTGCATGTTTTACTGTTTGATTTGTCAATCCCGGATATTTTACAGATATGATGGAGATCCTACAAGGATTCTGGTTTTTTTCCGACGAAGACGAGTAAATCTAGAAGGCAGTGTGCAGTCACGAAATCATAGAATTCTGACAGGATTCAAAACAACACTATCAAGCATCCTAGAAAGTTGATCATTGCTTTCTGAACCAAGATTGAGCCAGAAAATTGGTAATTCTGGGAGGAAATTTGTAAGTGCAAAATTGCGATCCTGTCAGGATTTGGATAAATCAAAAGTGCAGACAGGATTTCGATCATAACTTTCAGGATTTGCATAGATTTCTTGAAAATGTTGTTGAATTTCTTGACAGGACTTTCCTTGAATTTTCAAAATAGAGTATTGAACTGTAGACCTTCAGTTTGTAAGTAGATCAGCTCACTCAATATTCCATGTTATTCCATATGACTTTACCGTTTAGTATCCGAAGTTGTTCACTTTAATAAAAACGTCTGTTTGAATTCTCTGCGATTATAAATATTTTTTGAAAAATACTCTAGAAATGTTATATCATTTTTAACGTTTTTCTTTGTTAGTGAAAAATGGGTTGTTTTGGCTTCTATATGCTTTTGAGAAATATTTTTTTATTTTTTTTTGAAACGTCATTAGAGGGTGTGGGTGTGGGTGGGGTGCACTTCTTCTTTGAACTCATACACCCACACCCTACATTTTTTCATACGGTGACGAGATCAAAATCCACTTTTTTTTACACACAACATGAGTTGCACAGAAAATCAGCTTCAAATATTACGAATGAAGGAAAATGAGTGTAAATCTTTTTATGAATTCACTTTAGCTTTAATTAAATTAAATTTAATTGTAACGTCAATAAATTTGAATTTATTGATGCTAACTATATAGCCATCTTATGTTATTTTATGTTACCTTTACGTACATTGCTGTATTTGTCTGTCACTTTTAGTACTTCATTTTACCTCATGTTAAACTGCATACATTTTCCGTTTTATTTCACTCAGCTAAAATCAATTCCGCCTTTCATAACTATATTTTTTTAATCATTCACGTTTGTCTTGCATTCAAATAAATTATGAATGATATAATGTTATTTTTATTTCATTTAGTGATCGGGCTTCTCGCCATAAGTCTCGTAGTTTTATTGATAAATACTGCAGCATATTTTCAATATATCACGTTCTTACTACATATAGTCAATATCCTCAGAAGCATAAGTCGCTAGAATTACCGAACTATGACGATGAAAATGAGACGAATAGAAAATGAATCAAAACAGATTGAAACTTTTGAATCAATCTTTATATATATATATGCATCACTTTTATCGAAAATATATCAGTTCGATGAAGACTTCATTGAAAATCATTTTAGCGTGTAGCTCCACGTTGAGACGCTTGATTTCTGATCTGAGCCATTTATTGAAGACAAAACCCGAATTAATTCGTAAATGTAGGTTACGTGATCTGTACTTAATGTGAAAGATCATCTATTCGATATAATTTTTACTTTATGATTATCACTTATTCACTTACTATCGCTTCATATCTGCTACGCACCACCAATTGTTATGCAATTATATTGAAAAATGAGTAAGTCATTATCATAAGATAAGAATAATATTTAATAACTCATCATTCATGTAAAGTACATTTCAAGTAACCTAAGTGTAAGGGTGTGGGTGTGAGTGTATGATTTCAGAGAAGAAGTGCATCCACACCCTACTAACTACTCATTTTATTTCATCACAAACTCTGAGCAACAGTGCGTACACTGCAAAAAAGGTATCATAAGAAACTAAAAAATGGTTTAGAGATTTGAAACGAATTCTGAAACCTTCTTTAGTTTCGTACTAAGAAGGCTTCATATAAGACTATTATATTTTTAGCTTAAGAAAGGTTTCGTAGTCGATGCTTTGCATGGCGCTTTGTATGATATTGGCCAAACATAAATATACTGTCAATTCGTTTTCTACAGAGCTCTCCCAACGTATATCCACACTTGAGAGACGCATGTCTTATTGAAGGCACATATAACCCCATATTTGTCCATTAACTCCTTACTTCTATATCTAATTCCTTATTTCTATCCTTAACCCTTAATTCTATACCTTACTACCCAGATCGAAAGTCGGCAATCGGATTCTATCAGATGTGTTTCAATCCGATGAATTCCGATGACTGCATCCGACATGATTCCG